AAGGAAAAGGGAAGTAGGACTCCAAAGGGTTTATTTGCATGCAGAAGCTGTCCCTGCGCCTCAGTTCAATTCATTTGTTTCAACTTCTGGTTATGATATACCTGTAGAGGGTGAAGCTTTCCCAGCTGCTGGACTAGTCAGCCAATCAGTGCTTGGCTCTAAGGATGCACTGCATGATCCTGAAGTTGTTGCGAAAGGTGCAGTTTGGAAGGCTCTGCTTGAACCTGGAGTCAAGCGTGCATTAATTGTTGGAATAGGACTTCAAATTCTTCAGCAGGTAACTCTCATTGGTCTTCTATAATTTGTACTTAACTATTTTCTTTCCTGTAATGATTGATATCCATTGTTCTCTCAACATTCCTTATTTTTTTTAATCAATGGCTACATTTCAGAAAATTGATAATTATGAACTATTGAAGATGATTAGTTACATGCATGAGATAACGATGTAGAGTTGATCTGCCCTTAATGCTTACAGTCCCCGATAGAATCAGACTCTTCTTTTGATGAGATCTGTGCCTTTTTCGACTTCTGTTTGGGAGCTGTACGCAGTTTCTTTTTTTAGGGGAATCATTCAATATTTGTCACTATTAGTTAATTTGGACTCAAGCTGTGTCAGGTTGCTAACGGAGGAAGTTTTTCTAATGTAGTTTTTTCCCCTTCGCAAGATTCAAACTCAAGATCTTCTTTAAGAGGCATAGAGTCATTTCTACTTAATAAAACCTTAATTGATTATCGCACACCACTAATATTATTTGATGTACATAATTTCAAATTGACCCATCCTTGGGAGTTACTTTATGCAACAATCCCCCAAGAATCGAATTCTTGTTTCATTCTCTCCTTTCTTTTTCCTCATACTATCTTTCTAGGTGTTTTCGTGAATCACAAGAACAAATATGCAAAATGGTCATGTCTGAGGAAATGGGCCGTGACAAGCTACTCAAGCTAGCCATCAGCTTTTGATAAAATTCTTGCATATACTCAAAACTACATAATGTTCTCTCCAGGTGTTGCTTTCTACACAATTTAACATAAGCACAAGCTGGATATGAGAGGAAAACTTTTGCATTTTGTTTTTGTTGGTTGAGTTACTACCTGCTTGCTTTTCCTATGTAGCTCTGAATAGAAATTTTATATCTTGCAGGCTGCTGGCATCAATGGATTTCTTTACTATGCTCCCCAAATTCTTGAGGACGCAGAGTTGGGGATCTTTTGTCACGTTTTGGCTTCAGCTCAATATCTTCCTCTTTACTCATAAACGTTTTTACAACTTTCTGTATGCTTCCATGTATAGCTCTTTCTATGAGGCTCATGGATATTGCTGGCAGGAGGTATGCCTATACTTTAAACTTAAATTTCTATGCTGTTGTTAACTGCAATCTTTCTCTCCGTGATTGTTCCCATCTATTTCTTCATTGTCATATTTTCTATGAGTGATTGTTGATATCTTTATTATGATGGAGAAAACATGAGTAACATATTTGGGTGTTAATGATCTGTTCTTCAGTGGAATTTTGACGTCTCTTTCATTAGATACTAGGGGACCAAAATAACTAATGGTCGAGATGTTACAATACAATATGTTATCTCTCCATATGCTTTGATCTTGGAGGAACAACTAATGGCAGCCCCTGGCTTTTTCTTTCTTTCTTTCTTTTTTGAGGGCAGGTAAGGGGGCATCAGCGGTGTGTCTATGTTATTGACCATGTGGGTGATAATTTCCCCCCATGCTTGTGTGTGTTGGATGCGTATTAATTACCCCCAATTGTTAACAAAACTACCAACCAATTTTTCATTACTCAGACCCACATGCACATGGCATATCTATTTTACACATAGATACAAGTTAAGCTAGAAACATGTGCGGAACCAGTTAGCTGGGAATAACGAGTAGAGAGAGAGAGAGAGAGCATATTGATGTGATCTTGGGTTGGCCCCAGTACACGGTACTTTGGAAATACTCGAGATCTTCCCACTATGGCCAAGGTTTTACACTTGTTCACCTGCAAAACAAGATTTTCATAGCTGACCCCAAACTCAAGGCTCCGGGTTTTTATATAACTCCCCTCGAACTAAGTACATAGGTGACTCTCTTAAAAGAATTATTTTTATAACGCTCACGCAGCTCTAAATAACTAGACAGCTCACAATTAAATCCGCTTAAAATATTACAATGAGAAATGTAATAATGATGTCTGTTTCGGCCCTTCACTCTTTTCTTCATCTCCTCAAATTCAACTTCTTGAATGCTCGAGTCTTCACCGTTTTTATGTTATGCTAAAAAATCTGTACTTTGTGGAGGGCTTCTCTTGATTTTCCGACATCCATCTTCCTTTTGTAGCATTGTGCAATATTCTTGTTTCTTTCTTTGGGATCACAACGTCTTCCTTCTTAAAGATCAGTTTATTAGTCGTTGTCCTTTAAACCGTGATCTGCATCAACATCGTTTCTGATTTTGTAATGAGACAGTTTCATCATTTAAGCTTCATACTATAAATGATTCAACATTAATCTTGGATAAATAGTCCGAGCATAATATTTATTTCTAAAAAAATTTCTCTAAACATATTTCAAAAATCTAAATTGTTTAATAATCTTTCAATATTTCGTTATCATCAAAACTAATTATAAGTTGGTTTGGGGTTCAATCTTGACACACATTTATATTTTGACTTTTCAATGTTTTTCATTTTAATTGATTTGAGGTTTAAAAGTAAAAACTGCTTCACACTTCTACAGACATTACCTTTTTTCACCATACTTCTTCAGCTTCTTGCATTACTTTTCACACGAATTCTTCTTTTTGTTGTAATTCTTGAGACTTTTTAGAATTATTATTAAAAGGTTAAAGCTTAATATAACTCTTTTAATTTTGCATGAAGGTTTTTTTTTTGGTTAATTTTTTTAGGAGTCAGTGGTGTGACGGGGAGCTACAAAAGGTGTCCACATCCCCTCATTCTATTGACTAACCTAATGGAAAAGGACCCAAAAAATTTCACCAGCACTGCCCTTTTATAATCTGGCTAGGACTGTACTACAAGTGCGTGGTTTGTTTTATAAGCACTCGTTTCTGACAACAGGTTTCTTCTGTCTGTACCTCATTATGCATGTCTGGCTGCCTTGAGTAACTACAATTGGAGCATGCGTTTGTAATCGAATGCGACATCTCATGACAATATATAATTGCGAATTGTCCATTTCATGGCAGGTCAATAATGCTGTTCACATTGCCAGTTCTGATAGGGTCTCTTGTGATACTAGTAGTCCGAGATGCTTTGAACATCAGCTCTGTCCTCAATGCAGCAATTACTGCTGTCTGTGTTGTGGTGTATGAAAGTGTCTTCTGCATGGGATTTGGTGTGATTCCCAACATAATATGTGCAGAAATCTTTCCCACAAGTGTACGTGGAATATGCATTTCCATATGTTCCCTCACATACTGGATCTGTACCTTGTTTGTCACCTCCACCTTTCCTGTTTTACTTCGACTCCTCGGCCTTACTGGTGTGTTTGGATTATTTGTCGCGGGATGCATTCTTTCTTGGATATTTGTTTACTTGAAAGTTCCTGAAACAAAGGGCATGCCTTTGGAAGTTATTATTGAGTTTTTTGCCATTGGAGCGAAGCCTGGTACTGATCCTGCGGCTATAGGGATGAAAAACTGATATCGTTGGAAGCAGCATGGATCATTGATAGATACGGAAGCTTGGGGATTTTGAGGCGCAGAGCTTATGGGTGGTGGGAGAATGAAATGTTCGGAGTTTGAAAGGGTGATCAGCGAGGTTCCTCTTCGTTATAACTCCCCGTGCACTTTCAGGAGAAAGAAATGGAATCCACCCACACAAGTCCCAACTTAGTCTCAGAGTACTGATATTGTTTATTATTATGCTTTTTGCCAGTGTGTGATCAGGGATGTTTCATGTTTCTACAATAAAGGCCATGCTTTAATGATTGCTCAATTTAGCATTTTGCAAATAAAGAATCACCGAATCAGAATGCGTTGCAGTAATATATGAGATGATTGAGATAGAAAAGACGAGACCAGGGCAGGATGAAAGGAAACTTGGTGAGATAGAAAGTACGACAGAGATGACATGGTAGGCAGTAGGGTTAGAGAGAAAAAGAATAAGGTCGCGTGAGATATGCATGGGCATTGGGCAACGCGTTATATAAAGAGTGAAAGGGAGAGGGGCGAATGGCTTTTCAGTGGGAAAGAAAATATCGGCGGCTGCTACTTGTCGGGCTGGCTAGATTTTCCCACTCACCACAGGGATCTGCCTTTCCTAAAGTGCTCACAAAAATAGAGGTGTTCATTAAAGGTGCTCCACTTGCTCCTTTTATAAAGTCTCTTCCTTTTTATTTCCAGATCGTACAGATCTTAAGCTTGCCGATGTGGAAAGTGGATGGAAGCGTAATGGGTTTAATTAACCAAAGCGTTTGTTTATATTGGTAAGTAGAGCCTGGGAAGAGACTCCCTCCGTAAGGGCCTAACCCCTCAACCATCCATTTCCTACATTTCCATCTCCTCCTCGTATCCCTCTCGGACCTACTACTATAGTTGTTCGCTTAACCGGCAATCTTCCCCCAATTCTGTGACATGTCAAATAACGAATGCTTTTTATTATTAGTATTATTATTATTCCCCCGGGGGGGCTCCCTTCCCTCACTAAAAAAAGCCCTCCAATCTAGATATTTTAAAGACCAACCTTGTTTCCTCTGCCTTGCGCGGGGTTGTTATATCTCGGCCTTTTGTTATAGCATGATCCATTCCCTTGAACTGGCCCCTTTGTTTTTTGTTTTTCAAAAAATAAGTTGAACCTTGTCGCCGCTCTACAAAATCTCCCACCTCCTCAGATTAACCTTTGTTTTCCAGTGCATGCACGGCGACGACAATCATTTTATTCTTTATTTATTCCGCCGTTTACCATTTGCTTTTCTCGTCTCTCTTTCTTGGTCAGGTTTACCATCTAGAATATTGGAGAGAGGCTAGAGAGCTTCATAACTATGACTGAGTTCACCCAGAGTGAAGTTCATTCTATTCCCAACTCCCAGGACTTAAAAGAAGTACAAATTTGTAAAATTTAAAAAACAAATCTACATATACATACAAAAAGTTTGCGACTACTTGCCCAGTGCTCAGGGCAAGAAATTATTAAACCCGCTGCTTATGTTATTATTGGCAGTAGTAGAAGCGGCATTGTCGTCCTCTCTGGACTTCAGCTCAGGTTCACCGGCAGAGCTACTGGCGGCTCCGGCCGATCCCCCGCCTCCTACCGCCGGGTACTGGCCGCACCTCTGGCACCTGGCTACCGCCAGAATCTGCCGACAAGAGGGGCACGAAGAGTGGGACCCCAGCCACGTGTCTATGCAAGCCACGTGAAAGCCGTGCCCGCACTGAGGAAGCACCCGGATCTCGTCGCCATCGGCGAACTCGGCCAGGCAAATCGCGCACTCCGACGTGGCCACCCACTTAATTGGATTGCCGTTAACGTAGGTGAATCTCGGGAGCGACCGCAGAACTTTCTTCTTCAGACCTTTGTTGGCCAGAGCCCGCGCGGGGGAGGCGGAGGTGCCGGATCCACGGCGGAGCCAGGCGCAACGGGCGACGGCGATGAGGCCGACGACGCATATGAGGGCGCAGAGGAGGGCGGCGAGAATAACGACGAAGTCGGATTCGACGGCGACGGCCTCGGGCGGGGGAGCACCGGCGGCGGCGCGGTCGAGGGAATTGAGGATTCGAAGCGTTCGAGTCATGATTGGGGGGATGGGGAGGGAGTGGAGAGGGGAGATGCTTAAATAATCGAGGTAGGTACTTATAGTTAAAAAGGCAGAGGCGGGTTTCAACTTTCAATCATGTAGAAAGCAAGTGGGGGAGAGTACAAGGAAGGGGAGGTAGAGAAGGATAAGGTTGGGGTGGGAGGACTGGAGGAGACTGGAGACTTTGACTCAGCGAGTCAGCCTAAAGAGAAGCAACCCAATTACGATAGCGGCAGGGGATGGTTGAAGGTGAAGGTGAGGGAGCGGATTTTAGAAATCAATCAAAAAGCAGATTCTGCAAATCAAACAAATAACAAAATCATGGTGGGGGCAGGAAGTTCCCAAGTTAAAAGTGAGGGATAATGTAAAATAAATGAAGGAGCCAGTAATAGCAAGTGGCGGGCTTCCCCTTTTCCTGTTTGTTGGAATAAAAATGATCCCCCGCAAAGGGCCCATGGTTTTTGCACCCCTTTTTCCTCTCGCCTCTTGTTTTTGCAGTTTTGGGTTCAATTACGCATCCAGGTAGATACACGCGACGCGGAGAAGAATGATAGAGCAAAACATGTGGTGTTGTCCGGGAAGAAGAGGGTCCCAGATGCCCATGTTCCAAACCTCCACATTCAATCATTGATCATCATGTTCTCCTCTGCTTCTCTTGATTATGTGCATTGGAAAGGACAAAGCTTAAATTAAGATACTCCTCCGGTCCTAAATGTAAGACCCCTATACACTCTTGTATAGGGGTCTTACATTTAGGACCGGAGTATTATATTTAAATGTTGTATTCTATTACTTTTTCGGTTCTAAATATTAGACCCATCTAATAAAAATACAAGAGGAGTATTATTTAAGCGCATGAGCATGGGTATTTTATCCGAATAAAGGGGCGGGGGAGCGTGACTGGGCGCTATGACTCGTGTTTTGTCGCATTGTTGGTGGCTTGGAATCCGATAAAACATAAAAGTTCCCTGGTCAAAAAAAAAAAAAAATCTCCAGTCCTAATATAGGACTTAATTTTTGAGTTGATTTTATCTTAAATATAAGACCCATTTTTCATATTATCAATTTTCTCTAAATGACCCTATAGATACTCCCAACATAATCAACAGAAGAGGAGAGGTATTAAAGATGATTATGATGTTTTAGAAAAATGTGTCACTTTTCTTATAATTAACTAACTTACCTAACTTTCTTAATCTAATCAAATTAGTTAAATGAGTCTTATATTAAAGATCGGAGGAGTAAAACATAAAAGTAGGCAAACCTGCGACAAGTTGCGACGTCATTATTATATATTTGGGGATTCTAAGGCCAACCATGGGCTACTCAATCTATGCTGTGTCTGTACACACGTCCATTATCCAACAGCCAATGCCAACATCTCACGTTCCTGTCTTTTGAACAATGCTTGGGATTCACATAACTGACCCTGTCTCGTTCAGAGTTCCCAACACTCCCTTCCAAAGGAAGTGGGAAAAAAGAAACAGACGAGCAGATACAATACTGAATAAAATACAAATACATTCAAATGGCTGAATGGAGCAACTTGAGATCCTATTTCGGGGTTGTTTTAACAGTTTCCGACATGCCAAATGAAAAGCCTCCCTCTTCTGGGGTATCCTCCGCACCGTGGGCCGCATTTTCATGTGATTGATGATCCACCATCACCGTCAAGCTGGTTGTTGATACCACGGGGGCCAAGGGTTCGTGTTCAGCATCAACATCGGTTCCATCTTCATCCTCCACAAAAGTGGAGGAGCGAGTCGAGTGACCCGTCGTTTTGAAACGCTGTAATGCGGGTCCGGAGGATGGCTTTGAGGAACCCAAACCCACAGTGCTCTCTCCACCCACATTTCGGACGCTGGACTTCCCTAATCTTCCCTCCCTCTTCTTCTTCTTCACAGCATTGTGCCATTTCTTCAGTGCTTTGGATGTTTGCTCATCAAATATCGATTTCTTCATCCTCGAACCCATCTGCCATTGGAATGGTTCCCCATATTTTAGTACCCAATCAGTTCACTCTTAAATCCTGTCGCTGTTTGATTTCAAAAGGTGAAACTACTCCTCCCAAGGTTCCCCAAATAAATGAGGTTGCCTACCTACTAACCCATAACACTCGCACGGTTCGGCATATATTAATAATATAATGCTTCTCAGAATATCATGTATGGATTGATCAAATTAGAATCTCATAACACATGGATATATAGCATATAGCATGTCTGCTTAAGTTCATACTAGTGGGGAAAAGAAAAACCATCAGAAACTCAAATATTGCAGGAGGTCCTGTACCAAGTAGCAGACAATCAGGAAATCAATGAATGAGTGAATGTGGATTTACCTGAGTTACAAGAGCATGTAATGGAAGAGTAACGTAGCTGCATAAGCATAGCACTGCAATTCTGCAAAACTCATGAAACTTCATAAGAGCAATGTTCAAATCGAAAGCATGCAATCCAAATTGAGACGGGCCATTTTTCTGCCAAGAATGAATTCAGGGAAGCCTTACCCTAAAGCTACTTTGATTATTGCAAGCTTGTAGTCAGCATGGAAACAATTGTGCAGCCCAAAAGAATACTGCCCAAAAAGGAAATCATTTATTATTTGGGCGTTAGAAAATGATCTAAATGGACAAGACAGCAAAAGGACATTCGCATCTGAGATTAAGGTTAGTTAAGATCGTTCATTACCCATATCCACAAGAAATATGTTATTTGGAACGCATTCTGCAAGTATAAGAAAACCAGTTAGTAATTGACTATTTATTAACAAAATGGAACTCTTGAAATAGAGTACTAAACTCTATCTATTACAAATTTTGATACTGTGCCATTTCATATCATTTGATTTATGACTTTGTATGCTCAAGTGACCAGAAAAATATGTTTTTCAGATTCAAACTGAATTATTGAAAATATCAATGTCACAAAAAACATCAACTGCAGCAATATTTAAGTCACTTGAGCAGTGTTTATTTAAAAAGTGAGGCTCATTAGCCTCAAGGCAAGTGACGCACATAACTAGTGCTTGTTTTGGATTCTGTTCAAAGGATACCAATTATTTACCTGGAACAAAGCAAAATGAATAAGGCAAAGAACTAACTGGGGCCGACCAAACCAAAAATATTTGTCTGAGCCTTGAATGAGAGGCATCCCTTGGACAACAGCATGTCTGTCAGTGATTTCAAGAGCCATTTTTGCCAATGTCGCTTGAAGTTTTGTTCCCACGGCCAAGATTATCTACAATCAATTTAAAGGTTTATTAGTGTACATCTCAACTGATATATAAGCGAAGAGAAAAATACTTACAATGACAGGAAGCAAGGAAGCCCACAACAATGTACGCCATCCTGGAAATCGTATGAAATAAACCATCATTCTTCGATTGCATGTTCAGCGTTAAGAGAAAACTAATTTTACGAGACTTCAGAATTCCGAATGAAAGTTGCTCACCATTAACATTCAGGAGTAGGAAGACTACAAATGATGCCCACAGGACAGGACTGCCATCAACAGAGCAGCAGAGAAAGAACACATGAAGGCACAACATATTCCAAACTAATTATAAGAGGAAAAACCACACATAATATAATAACATACTTAAAAATACATTACATTAAAGTAACATTACCTTACTCCCATTACTATCTTGAAGTCATCTTCCAATGATCTTTTGATATACTTTTGGAAGTTAAATTTACTTCCGGGAGAAAGGTGGACCTATCCATGTTGCATTGTCAGAAAAGGAAGGTAAACCAACATTCAAAGAACATACTCAGCGAAATAAAATGCTCACAGCTATAAAGCCATGGCGCAGAGTCATGTAGTCAGCCTTGCCCACAGACCTATAAAACTGGCGAAAGAAGCAACCCTACAATTGGGATATAGACAAGTTTCATATCAAAACGAGCATGGAAATTGAACATCAAGAATGACAAGTAAAGGGGTTATATTAGTATGAAAAGTTTACAACATTAATCCGTTCTTCTATTATCTTCTAGTTAATTTTACGTGATTGTGATGACTTCAACAAAAATCCATGTATAATTGAACCTCAACAGTGATACTAAAATTACGTCCTCTGGATCAAGTAAGCTTTAAAAAGTGAAGAAACAGCATGTTCATGAGATGAGTCTTACAACATAGAAAAAGATAGGAATCCTCATCCAAAAACTGGAGTGAGCTCTCACAAAGGAAGTTTCATGAGTAAGCCTAAATCTTGAAGGATCTGTAAACATAAATTAGCGATAAAGGCATGAAATTGCATGTGGCAGCATCTCAAAAGTGGAATGGGGAAGTTTATAGGAGCAAATGAGGAACTAGTCTCATACTAGAACAAGAAAAACACTCATGTAAACTATTGACCATCCTACCATAGGAAAACTCGTAGCCATGAGATGAAGTTTCCCCCTCCCATGCTTTCCAGCCACGAATCTGTGAGAAAAGATGTGGGAAAACTTTAATTGCCACTGTTCTGTAAATTTAATCCACTCCGTCCTGAATCATGATGCTAAGTACCAACAACCAACTATTAAGAACTAGGTTTTTAACAGATTGACGTATTTTGGCTCTTCAAATGAATGCAAAATGACATAAAACTGGAAAAAAATTTGTTAAGATACCCTTGCAGTGACATGCCTAACCATAGCAGGATCATTTATGGCTACATTCCCTACCCTTTGCCATTATCGCATTTATGCAATTCTTAGCCATCCAAGCCCATTTGTTGGTTAAAAAAAGAAAAAGAAAATCCAAACCCCTTTTCCTACACACGTGGGCATCCCCATTGTAGAAAGGCCAATTTAAGTTTGCGTTCAGATTCTCCATAGTAGAGTCATTGTCTTTAAGAAAATAATGGCTTAAGGTCATTCATATATCTTTGGCAAAAAAAAAAGGGTCATTCATATAACTTCTCATACAGTGACTTCACAACCACATCCACATGAAAGTTCTCGTCACAATATCCTAACACCAGCACTAAGCAGAAATCAAAATAAAGATGGAAATCCAAGCAAAAATATCTTTTATTTGCACAAAAACCACAGTCAATTTTTCCTTCTCTCAATAAAAAAAGGGTAAGGGAATTGTAAATACAGAGAAGAATGAGTTGAAATACATTTGTTAAATGAGACTGAACCTATCCAATCCTTCAATCTCTTGGGATTGGATGATTACGCTGTACTGTGGGAAGATTTGATTGCATAAACCATGGGTTTGACATTACCTCAACTTTGGTGCTCATTACATAAATACAAAAATAATCTCAAGGCCATAAATGTGCAATATATAACCAGACTGGTTTTCAAAACAAATGACACTGCAAAATATGAAAAATGTGAGTACCAGCACAGTTTCCTTGATATGCACGGCCATGGAAAAATGAATGAGGCATATACAACAAAATAGATGAAAAGCACACCTGTAATCTCCCGAGTAACATTGTGACAGCACTGTATAACACATGAAAGACTGCTAAGAAGAATATAAGGATGTGTATCTGGTGCAATCCATCGGCAGATATAAGTGGCTCATATCCCTATCATCAATAGCAATTAGGAGAGCATCAAGGAAGATAAAATTGTGGATCATAAAGTCGGGCTTTGAAGGAGTGAGGTTTCATATTGTGCTGACATAACAGGGAAAATCAATAGGCCAGCATGCAAAAAGGGAATCACCTTTAAACTTTCAGTTAAAATCTATTATTTTCCTAGAAAAATTTTAAATTATTTTGAAGCGCTCTAAATAATTTACAGGCATACAAATGTCATAAACTGCTATTTTATCGAGTCAAAGTCAGAACTTAAGATAGGGAGAATTCGTTAACTTATACGCCAAGAAAAACTCATAAAAGACAAGGTTTTGTGTCCCATGAAGCCTCATTTTCAAGCTCAAGAAAGTTTTTTTTAAGGAGAAAAAAAACTTGATAGACTATGACCATTTACAAGCATTTTTTTTCCTGGCCAAAATAGAGTGGTAATCTAAGGATACGATTGCCAAGAAAATTCATCTCTAACAATGAATTTCCAAACATCTTCACTTTTTTTTAGGTGAAATCTAAAGATCTTCACTGATGAACACTTTCAGCACATTATACCAGTCTATTTTTCTTTGAAAGGCAAAAAAGGATCATTTAATTCATCGATGTCCTCAGATGGGGGTAACAAGGAAAAGGTTTTAAATTTACCAATAAATATGTAAAATTTCACTTAAGCATGTGTCAGATATTGAGGTCTATTTAATACTCCTATTTTTTCCTTCACGCATCTCATTTGTGCGGAGGAAAAAAATCTCCCTTTCTCTTTCTGAAGTTGAGTCAAGGCCTTTCCTGAAATTCATGTCTTCGCCTGTGTCAATTAAACAACTCATTTGCGTCTGAAAAACCAGGTGCGGGAATATAGTTACCTCCTTGCATTTGGAAGAGCTTGTACCAGATGATAAATGTCTACGTTCATGAGACAGAAGTTTTCTACGAGATGAATCATTGGTACCATCATATGCACATGGCAACATTTTGTCAGCAACCTTATGAGAAATACATATTTTGACAATGTAGCTCTGCCCAAAATTCAGGAGCAATGAAATGAAACCTAAAGTCATCAGCTCTGCAAAAAAAAATATATAAGTTCAGAAACACGAAGAGATAATTAAGGAGGGGTCAAAAAGCTAACTTAAGATAGTCCAGTGCAATAATAGATAGTAACTCTTTGCTACATTCTTACCGGCTTTGACCTTTTCCAAAGCTTCAAGCAGAGCTTTCTTTTGCCTTTCTCCCAACCACTGAAAGAAAACTCGAGGTAAGGAATTGAGTCCATGAAAAGTCTCTAAAGGACACACATGCACTCGGCCTAGATCCGTAGCAGTAACTTATGAGGACCAACTCTCCTGCTATGTGTATTACTTTTACTTCCAGTGCTGTCCAGGAATTTGAACAATTTGAAAAAGACACAGACACTCCAATGACTTCGATCCTCAATTTTACGTTACTATAAAATGTTTTCAAAAATTTCCACTATGGCTAACAGCCAAAAAGGTTCGATTTTATCAAGACACGAGAACCACGTTAATAGAAAATGCGCTGCAATTCGAAGAGGGTTGAATCTGTTAAACTGAACATTTCCAGGAAAGTAATGTACCAAACACAGAGTCAACAACTTGCCTTATATCATAGCTAATTCGCAGATTCATCAAGGGGAAAAGAAAAAAGAGTCAATTTTAGGCCAGAATTGATAGTGGTGATGATAAAAGGACCTCCGTTCCAGGACATGAACATACGAAGCCATAACGCTTCATCAGCGGGTCGAAGCAGGTAATAAAAATGGTTGGAGGTGAAACAGTTAAAAACATCAGAAAACGCAAAAGCAAAACCTTGGTACCAATTACAATGGTTTCATTGACAGTCTTAACGTACCGATCCTACTCTGTGAAGACTCTTTTCTAAGGTTATGGAAATTAAGATGAAAACAGTGCAGACAGCTGCAACAGCCCATGTTGGTGTCTGATCAAGTTCTCTTGTACCGCCGCTGCTACTATCGCTTGAAGCCACAGCCAATCCTCCAGAGGAAACCAAAGATAATGCAAAGAAAAGAAACGTTTCGAACTTCGACATGGACATGGGGGATAAAAAGCACAGCAACACAGAAGCACAGAAGAAGACTGGAAATTGTTCACACCAACAAATTGCAATCTCTTTAAACCATGCGGGCCCCCAAGAAAAAGCTTCAACTCATCTGTATTGGCTCCGTGGACGACAAAGAAATCTTCACAAGTTTTTGCATTTATAGGAAATTGGAACCAGAGACTGTTGGTGCGGAAGTAGCGAGAGACCCTATTGCAGTTAACCCAACAGAACGAAGATTTCAAAATACAATTTTGTCGATTCTATGCCGTGTGCTCCTGGATGAGGCAGTCGTGACGCGGAATCTGGGTGCAGAAAAGGTCGCTGAAGAGATTGGAATAGCCAGAGATCAGTAAAGTCACAGTGTGTGCCTGTGACTTTTTCAGTAGAAAATAAACCAAAGACGGGAGCAAAGGGAAAACACTTGACGCGCAAGTGCAGCCTAGACTTTCATTGCGCCACTAATCGAGGCAAGCTTTTGCGACTGTGAAATGAAACTCCCTCTACGGGCTGCTGTCTAACTGAAATTCAAAGTCGTTTCTTTCCCTTAAACCTTTTTTGGAGACCAAAAAACAAATTTGTCTTCCTAATTTTTTTGTACTCTTCGGCGAAAGCGAAACATAAATAGGCACATAGTAAGCGATAGCAACACTCCAATATCGTGATTTTCCTTTCTTCTCACGAATATAAGGCCGGATGCTAGCATCATCGTATTATATTCAAATATAAATAGAAGAGCAACATTTCTGCAATTGTGCCGATTGGTTTTGAAAAATACATTTTTCAGCGATAAGTATGGAGTGTATATGCGGAATTCATATTTAATTTGGATGATGATGGGAGTCGCATATGGGGCACAGTCCAGTTGGAGCCAACAATCAGTGGTAGATGACAAAAAGGACGGGTGGGTGAGGAAGGGAAATAATCATTGGTTTTTGGCGGGACATAAGCCGTGCGTCGTAAATAAAATATACCATGCATTGAATTCGATGTTCAAAATTCAAAAGCCAGTCCGAAAGTTGAGCCTAAAAATTAGTAGGTGATGATTAAATTGTCCGGTTAGCTGCTCACTGTTTTAACGCTACAATATGTAAAATTTCCAATGAAATAATACTATGCAGTTACAAATAATCTAAAAAAATATTAGGATTTTTGAGGGGACTAATTTTTTACTTTTCTTATATTTTTTTTAAAAATTAGGCAAGTTAAAAAACCGTCCAATCTTCTAAAAATTGTTTCAGTTCTCGGTCAAACTCTAGGTCTCGGTTCAACGATGGTTCACCTCCGATCTAGTCCGGTTCAACCATATAAATGATATTTTGGTTCAAATCAAGCCGTTAACAAATCCGGTTGACAATTCCATCGGTTAGGCTTTACGGTTCGGTTTAGTTTTTTAATCATTAAATTAATGAGGTAGAGAAATATATATATATATTTATTGATGTGCCTGAAGGGTTAAACGAAGTGCGAATGCTACACATCCATCCTACTAATATGAACTCGAAGGAAGAGAGAGGACATATGCATTTGGTTGTGTTTGAGTGCAAAAAAAAAAAGTGTGTGGGGAGGGCGGTGGGAACGAGAAGTGAAGTGGCGAGGCCCCCCCGAAAAGGAAAGGACTTGCATGGTCATGTCGCGGCAGGAGCGCTACGGAATTGCTCACGTGCTCCCTCGAATGTTTCACCTTGGATTCGGCGCAATTACCCACCCACCAAAGGCCCATTATTAACCCCCTCACCCCTCTCTCTCTCTCTGCACACACACGCACATATATATACAACCACGAACCCCAATCATTATTCCCAATTACAAGCTGCGTGCATCTCCATCAGCATCTCCATCTCTCTGTTTCGCTACGCACCTACCATCCTTCCCTTCCCTTCCCAGGTTTCTCTCTCTCTCTCTCTATCTTTCTTTCTCTGCATATATTCTTTCCATATCTCTGCTTTCTGTTTCGTTAATAACGAACACAATAGGTATGTTTGGAATCGGATGTGCATCTGCATCCCTCTCATTATTTCCTATTCCTTCTCTGTCGCCCTTCTTCTTCCCTGATTCTTTCATTTCTTGTTCTCGCCCTCGCCTCCATTCTCCCTCCTCTCTCCCCTCTCTTTATTCTTTTCCCGCCTGTGATTTCGCCTCCTTCCTCTAATCATATCGACTGGTTCCGTTACGCCCTTTCTAACTGCCTCGGTCTGTGGCGGGTGCAGACGAAATACGACTCAGCGTTAGAAAATAATATACGAGTAATTCATTTTCAATCTCATGTCTTCTATTGATTCATACTACTCCTTACGCCAGATTAAATCACATCCGCCATTCCCATGCTCTCCTCATTTTAATTAATTACATCTTATTTAAACATATTTCATTCATTACAACACTGGCCATATATTCTTCAAATTATCTTGATTAAAAGTGTTTGAAAGGCTTTATTTGGTCGTGAATGATACAATAAGTGAATTAATTAAAAAAGAACAAACTATTAATTCGCTTTGAATTTATTTATCCTGAGAGACCAGATTATGACCCTTAATTTTGCATGAAATCTGAAATGGGTGGTATTGTTGACATTCCAGGAAGAGGTACCATATTATATATGAATGGATTGCGTGTATAGATTTGCTGGATTATTGGAATGTTTATATTGCATATAGAGAGATAGATGACAGATGCAGATTGCAAGAAAGGTGGAGGAGAACGGAGAGGATGTCTTGACGATGAATGAATCAATTAATGAATGGGCATCTCGACCCTTTTTCTTCTTTTCTTTTCTTCGGCAAGGAACGGCCCTCAACCCTCAGTCTAATCCAATCATGAGGGGAAAATATTATAAAATGGCGGCCAAGAAGAAATGAAACTTGGCTGACTCAGCAACACAAAGCAAAACCGAACTTTACGTCTTCTCTGCCCTTGTCTTATCCCAACCTCGCATCAAATTTGCCAACTGCGATGTTGTTTTCAAAACAAAATTTGCATGTACATTACGTCTGTGTTTTTTTTTCTCTCTCCCTTTTGGTCAAAATTTCGTTGAATACGGCTTTGACGTTCTTTTAGCCAACCAACGAATGGCCATGACCAGTTTAAGCTAAAACCCAGCGTTCTTTTGCATCACACCCAGAGTAAAATATACTTCTCTTTCATGATTAAAGATGGCTTCATAGCCTTGACAGTATAATGTCACGTGATTTAGCACTTACAATTCTCAGTGGAAGTCATGTTTTTATTTAAGAATTTAATGCTAAATTGTAGATTAAGACATATCATAGACAATAATTAACTCTAATATTTTGATATAAGACTGCGCAGAATTAATTTTGAACAAATATTATGAGGATTATTTATATTTTGCCTCATGATTTAAAAAATATCAATTCAAACGAAAGTATTATTAACTTGTAGTATATGTATAGGGAAATCACTAAAACAAGGTAACAGCTGATGATATTCTGATTTTTATGGGGAGAACTTGCTCTTGATTATGGTCAGTGAATGGAGCGCAATAAAGGAAATATTCTACCGGTTCTGAATATAAAACCTATTTTATAATATAAATTATACTATAAAATAGATTTTATATTTAAGAGTGAAAGAATAATAAATAAGTCTTATATGTGTTATTTATTTATTTTATAAGAAAGACTCGGACTGGACGAATCAACCAGGATCCACGAGGAATCCACAGCCGCCGTATCTTACAATATTTTATCATTTACGCCAACAAGACGGCTCTTGGTAGGGAAGGGAGTGGGCGTCTCCGCGTCAGCGTTTATGTTATTACCGAAAAGTTGCATGGTCGGATGGAGGTAGTGGACAATGAAAATCCCTGTTTCCGACTTTGGCCCTATTCACTATCTTCCTCCTCCTCCAACACCGTACATTTTCATCTTTTTCACTCTCTGTTTGGCGTCTGTGATCACAGTATTGAATATTATGAAAAATCAGATATGCAGCTGTGCTGTGCAGATTTCCCGTGTAATTAATTTCTGTACGACACTCCACTTACAGCGACACCATGCTGCGATGATGAGTGAAATATGGGGTCGGAGGTAACTGCCGCATCTTCTTGGGGCTTCAATTTCGCACCTACACGTCTCCGCCACCCGGCACCCCTCCGCCGGTTTTCCTGAGGCAACCACACTGATATCATTCTGTTCTTAAAAGCACAAAGGATCCGATTCCCAAAAAAAAAAAGAGTCAAAAAGATGGGGTTTCTGGAACTACTGGAGGTGGCATCTGCTCCCATTCTGGAGGTCCTGCTTGTCAGTGCAATGGGCGCTTTCCTCGCAACTGAACATTGCAATAATCTCCTGTCACCCGACTTCCGCAAATCCTTGAACAAGGTGACTCATCATGTTGTCCTCACACGATCTCCTCCACAGCCCACTTTAATTTTCATTCTTCTCAACATGGTTTTTCTCTTTTTTTCGCTGCAGCTGGTTTTTACTGTCTTCACTCCTTCACTTGTATTTGCTAGCTTCGCCCGGACTGTTTCGCTCCAGGATATGATTTCCTGGTAAGTATATACTGATTCTTCATTCCCCTTTCTCAGGTCGCGGTGGAAAGCCTTGTACCGACCGAATTTTGCTACTTTATGGACTTTATTGAACTTTTCTATTTGTCATTTATAATTAGAATGGTCAAGATGTGAGGCTTTGTGGCTTTCTCCTGTTATCGGCGTGATTATTTGGGTTGAGTCTTTCCCCCCTCCTTTGGAATCGGGAGCATGTTTCCATCTTTATTGGTAGTAGCTTATTGTTCTTGAATAGTTTGGCGTGGGAATTCACAAGTTATTTTTTATCAATTCATCTCCTGTTTAATTTGCACGCATCATCAATGCAGGTGGTTTATGCCGGTCAATGTTGCACTCACATTCTTAATAGGAGGGATTATCGGATGGATGATTGTAAAATGCCTAAAGCCCAACCTGAAACTGGAAGGTCTTATCATTGCTTCTTGTTCATCGGGTATACCATATGGCATCGCCTCTTACTTCTCTTACAGCCAGAAACCCTTTGTGCAGACGACTCCAAGTTCATGAATTATATTCACTTGTATCAGGAAATTTAGGAAACCTTCCTATCGTGATTATCCCTGCAATCTGTTTTCAAAAAGGAGGCCCTTTTGGTGATCAGGATGCTTGTCATTCTGCAGCACTCTCTTACTCATCTTTCTCCATGGCGGTAATCAAAGTTCACTTCTTTCTCGGAGTCTATTTATCTTATCTCATATTGTGATTTATGCACATGTATACTCTGATGGAACTTTCTACTGTTTTGGAGAATGCAGCTTGGTGGGGTTTTTATATGGACTTATACATACCAGGTAATGAGGAGCAGATCCATGAAATTTAAGGCTCTTGAGGCTGCTGAGGTCTTGAAGGTCCCCAGCATGGATCGTGAGGCTCATCCACAAACTCGCCTCCTCGAGGATGCAGATAAGCAAAATGTCACTGTACAAGTTCCACCACCAAATTGTAATGAGGACTCCGAAAACCAAAATGTAAGACTATATTCAAACTTCCCCGTGATCGATCAAATTTAAAGGTTGTGCGGGGAATTTGAAGAATTGTGTTATTTTTTGTTTGAGTGCCTAACATGGTGCTCCACCGCTCGTTACAGGTGGTAGACCAAAGTTCGGCCAGCGTAAGTGAACCATTTTGCCATAGAGTTATAGGGACTGTAGGCCAGATTGTAGAGGAACTGAAGGCACCTCCGACAATCGCTACGGTGAGTTCCTTTCTCCCTTCATGTTTGACATTAATTTGCATCGTGGTACTGATAGATTTGACCTCTTTGATGATCAGTTTTTCGGTTTCCTCTTTGGCGGGGTTTCTTGGTTGAGGAACCTAATCATCGGCGAGAATGCTCCATTCGCAGTGATCCAAAACTCCATTCAGTTAGTGGGGTATGAGTTGAAAAATAAAAATATACCAAATCAGCCATCAGTGGGAATTTATGAACTTGTTAGATAGATTACATGCTTGCCTTGGGTGAAGTATTGAGTAAAAATTTGTTATTGGCAGGGAGGGAACAATTCCTTGCATCACCATCTTGCTGGGCGGCAATCTCACTCAAGGTATATATATAGATATATGTGTATGCAGGCGTGTTATTTCGTTGGAAATGATTGGAGTAATAATGGTGGGGGGTAAACAGGGCTGCGATCGTCAAGTGTGAGATTATCGAGCGTCATGAGCATAATAGTATCCAAATATATTGTGATACCGACCATCGGACTGTTTATTGTGAAAGCCGCGGCAAACCTGAAGTTGCTGCCACCGTATCCTCTGTTCCAGTACGTGCTGGTGATGCAGTACGCGATGCCACCTGCTATGAATATCAGTAAGCGATTCCCACGAGACCACTTGTAATGATGTGCAGAATATGTAGCAACGATTTGATGATGAAAAATGACAATCACACAGGTACGATGGCTCAGCTGTTTGACGTTGGACAGGAAGAGTGCTCGGTGATACTCTTCTGGACGTATGGCGCCGCAGCTATAGCACTAACCGTCTGGTCAACAGTGCTCATGTGGATGTTATCCTGAAAGAACTTATCCTTTGGTTTGGGTGCTTTTTTTCAATGGAAAATTCGATGTTAGAAGGTTCTTGTGCATTCATTCATTCATTCATTCATTCCAGTGACGGAATATAGGCATACATTTCTTCTGCAGTAGCTTCTTCCTAGTGGTGTCACTGTGAGATCAGATCTTATAAATGTATCACATTTTTGTGGACAATTTTAAACCAGCTGCACTCACTTCATTTTAACATCTCCTCCTTGTGGGATTAAGCCGTACTTCCTGTGCTGTTATGGTCTGATAATACCGTGATTAGGTGTAGTGTTTAGAGAATGGGAAAGAAAGAGTGACGGGAAGAAATGGAAACAGTAAATTGACAAAGCATATTATTTTTGCAGATGATGACAACGGATTCTCTCTCTGATACCCTCGTGAATGAATCAATCAATCAGCCTTCTGATTTTTCTTTCGGACGCTTTTAGTTGGTGAATATTCGAATAGACTCGCCCAATGACTCACTGGGAACGAACGAAAATAAATGAATCACTGACCCAAGATTTTTTTATTTTTATCTAATCTAATTATTGATATAAAACATCATGATAACTTAAAAAAAATTTCCCGTTAAAAATTTTATTACTAAGAACAGCTTAAATCAAAATATCAATATTTTATGTCTATAAACTTTTCAGAATACCGATACTTATAGGTATGAAAATTTATCATACCATACTCCTCAACAGAATTTTTAATTGGATTTTTTCCTTTAATTTTTCACAAAACAGGGACGCGATTTGCGAGGTTATTTACTTATTTAACCCGAGAGGGGCATTTTTGTCTACTTAATCTTTGCCGTGGAATTTCTGAAATTTGTCTATCTTAAAATGAAATTATCCATGGCGTTTATTTTTTTCCAAATATTTTTCGCAAACGGGGTGTCCTATTTTTAACTTCTGCTCTGAAAAAGAAAAAAAAAATGGAGTCCAACATTGCGAAGCAAAAGGTCATCCGGCTCTTGCAGGATTAGGATCAGTGAGTTGTAGATCCTAATGCTGCAGGGCGCCAAAAGATTCCAGTATCATTCCCTATTGCTCTTCTGCTTTAATTTTCATTCCTTTACTCGCCTTCTCCAAAAACCCTTCTAATCCGAATCGGGTAGCTAATCCCTTATTCGGATTCCAGATGAACTTTCGATTTCTTTGTACAGCACGTGTTCTGATCATATTGCTAATCGTTTTTTATTCGAGCTTAACCGGCGACGTCTCGGTATCAAAGTCAGAGAGCTCCCAAGTCTCAATTGTTGGCAATCGTGATGGAGACTTCAAGGGCTTAGCATTACCTGCCAGCCGCTCTCCTCTGTCTCCTCCAGCGTGAGCTCTCATTTTCCTGCTTTATTAGAAAATTTCCTTCTTTTTGGCTGATCATCGTATAAGCTTTATCCGTGATCGGTGCTCATAATTCATGATCAAGCCTGGTGCTTGAATGCGTTATGTCTGCCCAGTTGAATGATTGAGGAGATGCTAAATAGCAAATATGCTGATTTTGAATGGATTTTAAACTTTTGATGTTATCAGTTCTCTCTTTTTCCTCCCCACGACACAATAGTTTGCGACGCAGTTGTGGAACTAAAAATTATGCAGTACTGCTATGCTAACAACTAATATTTTGCTAGAGGTCTCGTTCATTTTATTTTTTATCTAGCCATATTGCCTTTCTTTACTGATATTCGGCAATGTAACCATGTCATTCAATTTTTGTCTTTCATATTTTTCATTGGACAGTAAGCCTAGTACGGCACTAGTTGTCGCCCCAGATCAAAATGGGACAATACATTTGGTGGAGAGTGGTTCCATGAGGATAATATGGTCATTTCCAACAGGATCACCAATTTACAATTCATATCAAGCTCCTGTCAACAAGGGTAATGATAAAGACAATGCATCTGGACCCAATGAATTCATAGATGTCGGAGATGACTGGAGTTTATATCAAAGAAAGCCTTTTGGTAAAATGGTATGGGTGAGGATGTCCCAAAAATGTACTATTTTATGCCGTTACGTTTCTAATGTTAAGGCATGTAGAATTGCAGATTGTGGTTTAATGTGAATGTACTCGATTTTTATCTACAAGTAAGCAAATGTCCTGTATATAGTATCTATACGTATATCAAATGGTTTACGAGCTTTTGGATGAACAAGTTGCTGGTAGTAGACAGTCAATGTTACGTGGTGACTTATTCTCTGCCCCTCTGACAGCTGTCACAGCAATCGCTGTTTCTTTTTGTTATTTTTCACATATTATATGTAATAATTTAATTTTATTTGAAAATCAATTGAAAAATATTGATATAGACTTTGGTGCATGTCAAGAAAGGAGTTGTAGAAAAGCATGCTAGGTTTGCTGCTATCTTAAAATTTATTTATTTAGTTTTCTGAGCATGGATGGAAAAATGAGTTGAAGGTGTTCCTGATCATTGGCTTGATGCCTTTCAGTATAGGTTCTAATAGGTTCTGTATAAATTTATTTTTTACAATGCAGACTATAAGAATAGCTTGTATTAAATTTAAGTAATCTAATTTATTGCTTTGTAGCCAATGATGTTTTTAAAATCTGTCTTATGAATTGCTTTTGCATCATAAATAATCGTCTGCAGAGACTCTTAACATCTATTGAAGATATTGTTAAAGCTACACCTAAATTATCAAATGATGGAGTTGTTACACTCGGATCTAAAAGAAGTACTGTTTTTGAAGTTGATGCCAAAACTGGAAGGATCTTTCGAAGTTATGCCGCATCGGATTTTGATAATTCCTTTGCACTGTGGAGTGATGACAGGAAAAGTGTTCAAAATATCCTCGCTACTAAAAATGAGGAGCTGGTCAAGTCTGATCCTCTTAAGCTTCATGTGCCAAAGCCGCTACTGATGTTATTTAGGACAGATTATTCTCTACAAGCTGTTAGTCCAGGATCAGAAAAAGTTGCATGGAGTATGACAGTAGCAGAATTTGAAGCTGTGTTATATTGCCAACATAATGAAAACCCAAATGATGGTGCGCTATTTGATTCAGAGGGTGAGTATGCTTGTGATGGTGGCCTGGATTTTGCTTTGCCATACCCATGTTGGGTGAAGAAAAAGGTCTACCGTCTACCAAAAAACTTTCTGCTACAACCTTCAGTTGTTGAGAGATTACCTGAGGCTACTTATGATAGCGAATTGCTCCCAATGCCCTCTTCAGATCTGATGCTTCCTATGCAGCCTAATAATGAAAGATTTTTAAAAGGCCATGATGATGTCAAGATGCTTCCCATGCCTGTGCCAAATTTGTTGCCTCCTCTGCTTCCAGAAATGGTCAATAGTGATGACACATTTGAACTTGCTCTGCCGTGGACACAGATCACAACACATGAGGAAGTTAATCTGAAGAAAGCGATTTCATGGTTATTAAGATGGATTCTGGTGCTGTTGATAGTCTCTTTCCTGGTCTGGATTTTTTGGTTAGTTAAAAAGCTATTGAAATTGAAAGGCCAAAATAGTGAGCTTGATTTTAAAAGTAATCTTAAGAAAAGGAAAACACGAAAGTCAGGAAAGAGCAATGAAATTGTTGACAAGAAGGTTAAGCCATTGGTATCAGAAGATGACAAACTAATACCACAATGTAGAGATGATAAGGAACCTTGGCTGTATATTAATAAAGTTGATGAACGTGCTGATGGGCGGAAGATTGGTAAACTATTTGTATCGAGTAAAGAAATTGCAAAGGGAAGCAATGGAACCATTGTTCTAGAGGGAACATATGAATGTCGAGCGGTTGCTGTTAAACGTCTTGTCCAAGCTCATCATGATGAGGCCTTTAAAGAAATTCAAAACCTTATTGCATCTGACAATCACCCAAACATTGTTCGATGGTATGGGGTGGAAAATGATCAAGATTTTGTCTACCTGGCACTAGAGCGTTGTTCATGTAACTTGGATGATTTAATTCAGATTTACTCAGATATAGCAGAAAACTCAGTGTTTAGCAAGAACGAAACTTTTAAGGCTCAATTGGAGATTGGAAAGCAAAATACGCAGAATCTTTGGAAAGCAAATGGCTTTCCATCACCTCTCCTTTTGAAGCTAATGAGGTTAGTCTGAAGCGTTCTTGATTCAGTGAAATATTATAGACGAACTGGGACATAGTCCCATGTTATGCATGAAATGCATCGTAAATTCCATGTACATGAGGAAATATATGTAAGGAAAACTACAAAAATTATTGCATGATCATGCTAAAAATATTTCTAATGCTTCTTTTCTTCAACCTTGCAATCATAATAAAAGTTTTATTTGTTATCCAAGATAGGGTGACCAAAAATAAAAATGTTACCCATCTGCTTAGAACTGATTCATTACAGTACAATATAATTTCACGAACTGTTTGCTCCGCTGATACTGTAAATTTTCTGCCATGTTTATTTCCTGCTTGCTATTTGATTCAATTACTCTTCAAATATGTTGACATCTGTCTACAATGGTATTTCAATATTTGAGTAATAATGGGAGTTAATTACTCAAACAGCAAGACTTGGCAATACCACGTTGACATCTTAACTTAACAAGACTTCTAACAAAATCAGGAAACTTATAATGTGCTGACAAATGCTTTGACAGAACCCCAAAAAAATTCATCTGCGTGTTTGGCTTGTTTCATTTTTGCCATTCACTTCACTATCTCTGTGATAAAAATACATTGGCAACTATTAATTTTATCCAAACATTAACTTCTTTCTCCCATCAAGGCTCTTTAATTATTCAGTCCTGATTGAGAACATGCCTTTGATACCTTGAATGAGTGATGAAGGGGCATTCATTTATTTCTTTCACTTTGTCAGTTATTCCTTGCATTACCTTGCTTCATGAACTACAAATTTAACCATGACAGCTCACAATGCATTGAAGAACACCTCCGGTGCAACAGAAAACGTAAAACACAAAGAAAACAACATTCTTACCTTATTTATAGAGGGATTTGGGAATTTAGTTTAAGTCTCTGTAAACAGGGTCAGGGGAGATGCAATTAGTGTCTGATGAAATGATTTTTTATTTTATTGGATATTTAACCTTGGTAGGGTTATAAATTTTTCTTTCCTATCTCAACCAAGATGAAAAAATAAAGTGGAAGTCATTAGATCATAAGAAATACTTGAAATACGCAGGTGGAATAGGCATATGTAGTTGATAGAATTTTAACTTATTTCAGAGCATGCCAGCACTATATTCCCATAAATAAGAAGGATACGAAGGCGGATATCTTCTACTCCATAACCTTTGGAAAAAAAACACGAATAAAAAAGTGCTCAATTGCATGACCACGTAACTCTAGGATGTCTATGTTTTCTTTACAAGCTTTGTTTTCATAGAAAAGGGCGGCAAAAGGAGCAAAAGAGAAGGGCACATTAAAGAAATTGAGTCATCTATAGTGGGATTAGAGGAAAATGTAAAAGTGGACAAAAATGTCTAAGAATAATTCTATTTGATTTTCCTTAGAAGTCTCTAGTAGACCCTAATCATTTGAGGCTAAGTTTGGATTTGTTATGTGATAGTTCATATAATGACTTCCTTTCAATTTTAGTTTATGCTTTGTACCATTTAATTTATATTTCATTGGCTTCCCTGACTCACCTCTGAATTGTACTACAGGGATATAATTTCAGGGCTTTGTCATTTGCATGAACTGGGAATAGTACATCGGGATTTGAAACCCCAAAATATTTTGATAATCAATGAAAGATCTTTATGTGCAAAGCTTTCTGATATGGGCATTAGTAAACGTCTTCTGGAAGATGCGTCATCTTTTGGTCATAATGCTACTGGTAAGTGTTCTTTTCCATAATGGAGTTACATTGATATCTGAAATTCTGACAATATCTAACTTGATCTATAATTCTTGTTTATTGACTCTTCAATTTTTCAACGAGGATCTAGTCTTATTCTACCTATTAATCTTGAGGTCTTGTTTATTTTTTATTATTCTTACTCTAAGATCTGATGAATTAATTGCAGGCTGTGGCAGTTCAGGTTGGCAAGCACCAGAACAACTTGCTCAAGGGCGTCAAACACGAGCTGTCGATTTATTTAGTCTGGGTTGTGTCTTATTTTTTTGTATAACTGGGGGAAGACATCCATTTGGAGAACGTCTTGAACGTGATGTTAATATTGTGAGAAATCGAAAGGATCTTTTCTTGGTGGATTTCATTCCTGAAGCCGAGGATCTTATTTCTTGTTTATTAAACCCTGAGCCTGATCTAAGGTAGGTTCATCTCATTTATATGCCTTTTGAAAGTAAATCTTTTGTACCGTCGTGGTGCTGAGCTATATTTTGATCATTTCTTATGATGTCAGGCCCAAGGCGTTTGAAGTTTTGCACCACCCTTTCTTCTGGGATTCTGAAATGAGACTCGCCTTTCTCAGAGATGCCAGTGATAGAGTGGAATTAGAAGATAGGGAGAGTTATTCGGATCTTTTGATGGCATTGGAAGGTAGTGCACCAGTGGCTTTAAATGGGAACTGGGATGAAAAGATGGAACCTGCCTTTGTTGCTAACATTGGCCGGTACCGGCGATATAAACATGACAGTGTTCGAGACTTATTACGAGTCATCAGAAACAAGCTGAATCACTATAGGGAATTGCCTCAAGAAATTCAGGTTCTTCCCTATTCTGGCATTCACAAGACTATTTTGTTTTAAATTAAATATATCTTTGGTGGTGGGGTTGGCTCAGGGGGAACAAACAGTTCTTTTTCCTTCAGAGCTTATATTAAATAGAATATTCCATATCCACCCCTGGCATGTCTCTAATTGTCGTTGTTAGGCTTTATCCCTGTGCTGCTACCATGGCTCTTATACATCTCTTCTGTTGGTGGGTTTCAGGAACTTGTAGGACCGATTCCAGAAGGATTCAATCACTACTTTTCAAGTCGGTTCCCTAGACTCCTAATTGAAGTGTATAAAGTCATATGCAAATATTGCAAGGCCGAGGAATGTTTTCAGCGGTACTTTAAAAACGCATGAAAGAGCCTTGGCCTCCTCCGGTGGCTTTAGAGAAGACTATGTTGATACCTTAGTACCTGACTACTGCAATAGGTTTGTACACTTTTTTTTCTCCAACCATCAACTGTAATATGTATTGTCCAATGTAATCTGATCCGAAGTTATGATATAATATCATTTAATGGATACCTTTGTAACATAGATTACTCTTTTTAATACGTTAAGAGGGTTTATCAAATAAATTAGAAAATCTTATTTGTATAGGTAGTATGTTAGAGGCTATAAATTTTATGTTGGGATACCCAAATATTAAAGGGGGTGTGCAAGAAAAACTTAACTTGTTTTACTCCTCCGGTTCTAAATATAAGACCCTTATACTAGTGTGTATAAGGGTCTTACATTTAGGATCGAAAAGTATATATTTATTTAGGTGGGTGACAATCAACGGATGGGGTCGAGTTAGAATCTTACCTCACACAAACTATACTTTACGCTGAAGTACTTTTCAACTCCCTCGTCAAGCACGCGATTTGACGACGATTTGAAATTCAGAGGAGGAAAAAAGGAAATTCTAGGCGGAGAGATTTTTTTTTTTTTTTAAGTATGCAAGGGGCTAAAGCTTAAAACCGAAGAAGACTAGGATGGGATTGAAATCCCATCATTGAAGTCATTACTCTTTTTTAACTCGCGAGGTACGTGATTTGAAGACGATTCGAAATTTGGAAACAAGTAAAAAAGGGAAATTTAAGTTTTGGTCTCCTAATTATGACGACTTATTCCCTCAGATTTGAACTTGGTTGAAATTCAATTTCTAATTTTTTTTCTTATTTAATAAATTAATCTATGTCATATACCATTTTTCTTCAAATAAACTCTATATTCATCACCTGCGGCCCTCCCCTGTTTCTTTCTCCACAAAATCATCCGTAAGGCGAAAGTATAATTTACAGCATACATGCAGTGAAGAATTACACACCCACCCATGCAAATCAATCAAAATCAAAGTGTGGCTGTGTAAGTTGAGAGATCAAATGATTAATTTTTCCAAAAGAAAAATAAAAACACCAGGTGGAGAGAAATATGGTGCTCTTTCAATCCTTAATGTGGGGTCTAATTTGAAAAATGATGTTGGTCCTAAATATAAAACTCATTTTATATGTTTATCAATTTTTTTCAAATTAACTTAATTGTTATTTTCTTAATAATAATCAAGTAGAACAGGAGGGAAGGGAATTAAAAAAGATGATTAGGGTGTTTTAAACAAAACATATCATATTAAATAACTTAACTAGCATCCTTAATCTATTTAAATTAGTTAATTAAGACTTACATTAAGAACCGAAAAAGTATTGCGGAAGATATAAAAGGAATGAAATATTAACATATTGCAGTCTATAAAAAAGTGTGTTTGTCGAGGTTCTTCAAATTTTCAAGCGATAGCGATGCCTTTTCTTTTGAAACATTATTCTTCTTGCTGAGTTTTTTACTTTTCGCTGTTTTGTTATCCTGCATATTCTTACAGAAAATGGTCGTTTAATTTTGTGGAGTGTCAAGTCCTAAATTTCTGAAAGCCTGCCAAATATCTCTTAAAGAACAACGTGTGTTTATTAATTTTTGTGACAGGAATTGCGAAATACGGGCAGTTGTGTGGGCCTTGAAGAGAGATGAGACAGATGAGTGGGAGTTTGTTAATCTGATTACCAGGGGCTGTGGGGAAGCACACTTACTGAAATTAGCAATTCGTTGGAGAAGGATTGGATGCAAGTGTGGAGTGCTGTGCAGGGGTTGAGTAGCAGATCGGCTTGCTAAGGAGGCGTTGCATGTTGCTCTCCTCCTGGGTTTCTATTGAATTTACATGGTGGGTCCCTTTATACTTTGCGGTCCATCCCATGTTCTATCCGCATGCTCGGAATAAGTAAGGCTTTTAACTTTTTGTTGGCCCTTTGCTTCCTCTGTATTTTCTCAAAATTATTGGCTTCCCCTTTTATACTGAGTTTTAAGATATGGCGTCACTTTCACCATCGACTCGATCATTACTGACCCCAAAAGTATCAGCATATGTATACCCCCACATGACATTCTAGTTTTTGAGAGGGAAAGAAAGCTACTAACAGGTGAAGCTTTTCGACCCAGGCATCAGCAAGATTTGTTCAGCAAGGTCAGCCTGTTTCAATCTGCTTCTCCTCCGACTCTTGCCCTGGGATTTGAGGAATTAATTACTGGCACTTCAATCATGGCAGAAATCACTGCGAAGAAAGATCCTCCAGAAATTCCCTTTCTTGGACCATGGCTTTCACATCCTATCCTTGTAGAAATCTATTCAGAGCTGTACTCAACCAAATTGTACATTTTAAACTCGAAGACCAACCTTGCAGCAGGAGTTTCACATGGAAGATGTAAAATGTTGCGAGACTCGGGGTGACATTTCACAGCGAAAAAAGAATAATACACGAGCAAGTGAATCGATACTGTCGAAGAAGACCCTTTTCATATCAACAGTGTCTTTATTAGTTTAATTGAGCTGGTGTGGTAAGCAAGAATACATGGAAGAAAGAGGGAGTGAGGTGTCAGGCTTCAGCGGCGGAATTTATGTTTGTTATGGAAGATGACAGAGGGTATCGATTGTTAGAATTGAGGGCTGATGATCCGCCAGCATCCGAGCCTCCGCCGGAGAGCCTCTCCATTTGCCTTTTCTTGGATCGGCTCTTGACTTCAGATTCCTTCTGGTCTGCAAATGTGAGGAAAGTCCGAATGCTGGAAGAGGACCCTGCACAAGACTCAACCGCCGCTGCGTGGTGCTTCTTGTACTGCCTCATCATCAGTATCACATACACGAACAGAGCCAGCAAGCACGCCACGCCGCAGATTAGATAGAGCCCCCAGAAGCTTTTGAGACGAAGCCCGTCCGCTTCAAACTTGGTATTCTGCGAGAGGCAGGCGATATTCAGAAGCCATTTGTCGTGAATCCTTTGCAGATCTCCGTTCTCTGCCAATTTCAATATGGCCGTCGACAAGTCAAGCGCCAGAGGCGAGTCTCGCGGAAATGCCTGCTCACAAGTAAAGGTCAAAACATATATGCAAGGACGATAATTAAAAGGAAACAGATTGAGGAGCAGTGGCAAAGAGATGCTTACAAATCCCCACCCGTTTCTGGTGAACTCTTGACCTACTATGCTGAACTCGCATCGGCTTGAAAGGAAGAGTTCAATGTAAGCACGCTCATCAACATACGCAGCAACGCCGCCCTTTTTGGGGCCATCTCTTAATGCTTTAGCGGACTCTTCCGGCGTCCTCAGGGGAACAAGTCTTGATTCATCAATCCCGATTTCTTCTATCAAGTAGTTTCTACTGAATGAACCCTGCAGGTAGCCAACAGGCTCTGTGCTGGCAACTAAAGTTTCAATGCCTTTAATGGGAGAAGAAAGCTGCTGCACTGTGAGGATTGAAGTCAGGCTTGCCGTGTAACTCGAGTTTATTATAAGAACCACAAATAACCATATGAGAAGCACCAATCGACCCAGAGTGCTCACTGTATTTTCCCCTGCATGCAGACATTATATTTCAACTCGATTAACTCAAAAGTGGGACACCACACATGTTAGAGAAGACCAAGGATTGACACCTACTGTGGGCGAAAAACATGGTCGAAAAACTGAACCTGCCAAATGCAACACAATAACAAGTCAGGAATAGAATGAAAAGCAGAAGAACGGTTCGAGGATTGTGTTTGGAATGAGGAAAATGGAGAAGTAATGAGAAAAGAAGAAGAAATCTAAATCAATTTCCTCACCACAAAACTGTAACTACTTGTTTTCTGGGAGGCCCCCGGAATTCATCATTCGATCTATGCTCCAATATCCAAACAACAGCACCAACAGCTAGGAAGAAGATAGCAGTGACGCCCCACATCTGCGGACTGAAGGATCTCAAAAAGGCCCAAGCACTGGAGTCTGACTTCCTAACCGGGGCTACAACCACTAGACCAGACCCAATAAATGGCTGAGTGAAATCTACCATCCTTGTTCGCTGCGTAGTAATTGTAATGTCGCCAACTGCCCCATCAAAGACCTGGAAGGGAACAAGAATATTATTAAACATCCAAAACCCCACAGACATTGGTAGTTAGTGTGATGCTTACACCCGCCGTGATCAAACGAACAAGCTCGTTGCTATTAGGATTGCTGTGACCATCCCCAAACGGAACAAGCCTATAAGGTACGCCATAAGGCAGCAAGTTCAGCGCAGAAAGGAATACATCAATGCAGAAGCCCTTGAACATGTCAGTGCCTTGTACCTGTGAGACAAATTGACGGTAACTGAATCCCACTGGCACCCCAATTTTTAAGAGCCTCCCATTATTTGGAAAAACCCAACCACGAGGCTTCTGCTCTGTGTTCCCCGGCCAAATCACTGGTCGCAGCTTCTGACTCGCCGCTGAGCGATTGGGGGGGTGTGCGTAGAGCACTTCTGGAGCAACAACCGATAATCCAGTGTAGTTACTCCAATAACCAATCCTCCTAGATCCTGTCCCGATCACATTGAGGATTTCATATGCTGGATTCACAAGGTTCCCATCAGATGCATACCTGAAAGTACCAGTTACCCCTGTCATATCAACCTCATAGATACTTTCTCTCAACACGTTTCCTTGATCGAAGATGCTCACAGAATCAAGATGCAAGTTGTCACCGCGCAGCTCAGACAATTTGGGATCATACGAGAATGTTATTCGATTCCCCTGCTTGAAGAAACTATCAAGCGCACGAGCAAGCGCATAAACAGTATCATATGCATAGAGACCGTAAGTACTCAATCCAAGGCGAACATTACTTTTGGCAGTGTCGTTGGCGCGAGTCAAGTTTTTCCACCTGGAAACAAATCTTCGTCTGAGCTCTGAATCAGGTGTGTGGATACGCAGCGTAAGAACCCCCTGAATCATGTCCATTGTATCGTGGGGGAGTGGACCATTTGTATCCAGAAGAGTAGAGAGAAAATGAGTGGCTATCCAAACATACCCAGCTCCCATCATCTCCAGATGCTTGGCCACTTTAAACACCTTGGGTCCCCAAGCAGCAATGGTGTGCACAACTATTATCCTAGATTCTGCCAAAGCCACCTGGACAAGCACATTAGTAATCTCCTCCCTGGTTGCTTCAGGGCTCATAGGAGCTTTAAAAGAGATCCTACACCGTCTCTCAGCAAGCTTATCTCCTAACACACTAATCCCATTTCTTCCATGATCATCGTCAACATAGATTGCGATAACCTCTCTCCATCCATAGTAGTCAACAAGCTCTGCAATTGCAGTCATCTGATAAAGATCACTATGAGTAGTTCTGACAAAGAATGGGAATTGAAGGGAGGAGAGTGTGGGATCCGTAGCAGAAACTGATAGCAGGGGAACTTGGAGCTCGTTTGCAATGTGTGATATCACATGAGCTGTGACGGAGCTTTGCGGGCCAATTATGGCCACCGTGCGTTTTGCAGTGAGATGTAAGGCTGTTTTTAACGACAAAGAATTATAATCTGCCAAGCTTATGTACTTGATCTATAGTAGGAAAAAAAGTTGAGCTTTAAACAAAAAGATGAAGCTTGTGAAGGACCTACCCTCAGCAATGCTCAGAAAGCCCCTGTATTTGGAATCCTCTTGCATCGAGACATTGAGCTTAGTTTCACCGAGAATAGATGGATCAGAATTTATGTCTTCAATTGCAGCTTCTATTGCAATCTTTGCAATTCGACCGACGGTGGTCTTGAAAGAGTAGAGAACCCCAATATTTACAGAATCGGGTCGTGTGGAATGATTCGAGCCCGCCACGGTCAAACAGAATCCATGGAAGAGAATCATCAAGACCACAAACCAAACTCCCGTCATGCTTGTGGTTGCCTAAACCCACTGAACTTCCTGAAGAGAATCAAACATCTTCATTTTCAGAAGAACTACGTAGAAAGTGAAAATTGAATGCTTGCATACCAGAAACGTTGGGCTTAAAGGGACTAACACCCATGCCCGGAAAGCGAACGATAACAGGAGGCACAGGGAGCATATCAGATACAAAAGAACTATGCTAGGAAACCCTGAAATTAAAGCAAAAGGTAACAAATTGATGGTAGTGTAAAGCACATGGTCTTACGCCAAAAGAACAGGCTTTCAGGAAAAAGGGAGCATTCGGGTGTATTCACAAAATAGAAAGGCCAACTTCAACCGTTGGCCATCGAGGACCGAGAGAAGAAGCAGAACAAGATTGTAAAACAACCTGGGGAGCTCGGATCCCGAAGAAAAATGAAAAAAAAAAAATCAGAGAAACAACAACAAATCTAAAAGGCAGTGTTAATAATGCTAAGAGTGCTATGGGGATACATGTAGATATGCAAAAGCACCTGAAGATTAGATTTTGCTGGTCCACTTTACATGGCCAAAAGTTAATCTGGACATAAAAGCCTAGGACTTTGGTAAGCAGGCTGGAGTGGCAATGTATTTATGGGTTCACAAGAAGATAATTGTCACTATACAAGAGCACTTGTGAGGCTGCTGCGTCTGGGCAATGCTCACGGGAAGAAAGAGGACAGAGAGAGACAGACCATTGGGCACTGGGTGGGAAGGGGGACGTGGAATTTTCAAGAGTAAGAAAATGGATTGAATTGGGTCCCTCAGAACGCGCATTGTGCGAAAATTTCATCCGGAGCAAAGCAAGCGAAATGAATAATTAATATGAGCCTATGCGGAGAGGGCTTCTGCCCTGGCCCATTTTTTTTCCCCATAAAATTATAATTTAATTCATTTTCATGGGTAATATCTCTTAAATATTTATAACATTTTATTAAGATAATTGATTGAACCGTGGATTGTCCCAATATTTGAATACGTATTACTCCTCCGTCCTAATTATAAGACCCAATTGACTTATTTGAGGAGATTAAGGAAGTAAGTTAAGTTGGTTATTTATAATAAATAAGTGTTGTCATTCCTAAAATATCCTTGCTAATTAAGTATATTGGCTAAAACTATCATTGTAGAAGGATTATCTGGAAAAAAATGCATAAATATAAGAGACAAAATGGATTGGGTCTTATAATTAGGACCAAATAAAAAGTCAAATTAGGTCTTATAATAAGGACCGGAGGAGTATTTTTAAAAACAAAATGATTAGAAATGTATACATGTAATAAATAATTATAAAACCTAAACATTTATTGGAATTATAGCAACTAAATCATGGTTTTTAAAATTAGAGAATTAAATAAGAGTACAAAGACTAAAAACGGTAAATTTGGGTTGGGTCCTCCGAAACCCGCATTCGTGATGATTACGCAAGTTGACAAATATCAACATGCAAATGAAATCCATTCGCCCCCCACTCACACTGTCCCCCTCCTCCTTGGACTTTTCCACTCGTGCCATTTTGCACCCGCCCCACCTCTATCATATTTTATTCTATTCCGCAAAGAAACTGTGAATAAATCACGTTAACTTCGTTTGAGTTGTGACCAAATTTTGTACAGAAAAGTCTAGGTGAAGTTGTCACTGTATTATTTTCAAATAAATAATTCAATAATGATATGAAATGGATTAGAAAAAATTATTAATAGGTCTCGGATAAAAAAAAATTAAGTAGGATAAAGAAGCATCAGCATCTTGATTTTGTTTCTTAGGTATATCTAACAACTTAATTTTATTTATGATGTATCTAACACTCATATTATTTTTGTATGCTTTCAGCATCTTAATCTTATTTATAATGCATTCACCGTCTTAAACTATATGAGATTAGGGCATTAGATGTAAGTTAAAAAAAAAAAAAATTAGAGTGCTAGATATGTCAAGAATATAAGATTAGTGGTATTAGATGCATTAAAAAATGAAATAAGGGTGTTAGATACCACCTTGCCAAATTAAATATAGGTCATATCATAAAGCAAATCTATTTTAAACGTTTTATGCCATAAGACTGTTTAAAAATTTTATCCAACATATCTATCGAGTGTGTATATAACACATTTGAAAAATCAAAGAATATTATAAATAAGTAGGGTAAGATATTTTTGTATATATCAAAAGTTTATGTTAATTGGATCCCAGAGATTTATTAGGCCCAGGGCACACTTTTAAACTCAAAAAACATTTACAAAAATATTTACAAATTGCCCATCAATAAGATCCTTACCTAGGCAGTAAAATTCAAATTTCATGATCAGATGAGTTATAAATTGGTTTATTATCAACTGTATCAACTCTCATTGGTGGTGGGGTAAGATGTTAATCAAATCAGATTTGAAATGCAAAATTGGGACGTCAGAAGATTATATTGTCAGTAGAAAAATAAATAATACCTCATGTTCTTAATATAATATTTACTTTATGGAGCAAAGTGAATCTTATATTAAAAAGAGGAGGTAGTGTTAAAATTATTATATGCGCATACACTCGATGAAACCTGGAAATCACAAAATGGGTGATTTGCAAGAATCATACGAAAAGTTTTGGAGGAGAAAAATAAGAAATGAGCTCATTGTTTTGGGTAAGCAGGCATATGATTAGCCGTGGGAGGGAAAAGGAGCTAAAAGCATGTAAAGTGGGAATCATGAAAGGAGGGGGCATCATGGCATGTGTTGTCAACGTAGTGGCTTTTTTAATCCCAACAGGATCAGAATGTTGCCCCAGTTTCATTTGCTTGGGTCGGATGCAACATAATATTGGCCCTTCCATATTATTCGCTGCTCTGTATGGCCCACATTTCTTATTGACTAATACAGATGTAACAGAATTATTTTATTTTATTTTATCCTAAACTATTATTTTTTTACTAGCCTAACTTAGCGGCGTAATCTTAGTTTAATACGAATTTGTATAATTGTTCTGAGCTGAAAATTTTTATTGATGCTATAATTCATAAGGAGAGGGAGATAGGCATGGTTTGCGAGAATGGAGAGGTGCGGGGGGTGGTGGCATTGCTGGTTTGGTGAAATGCATATGGAAGTGGAAGCAATGGACATTCATTGCATGCGCCCATTCTTACCTGACCACTAATTTTGTTGTCGCGTGTATAATGGAGAGGTGCCTTGCGTGGACCGCACACAGTGGGCAAAATTTCTAGCTCGAAAATAATGCGAGTAGTGATTAATTTTGAAGAAACTAAACTTTAGGGGATGGATGATGGATCAAATCATCAAACGAAAGTTGGGGTAATTATATAAATAAAAATTAATTTTTTTCCAAATCAGAAGTCAATAATGCGAACATAGTGATGAACCTGTATGAAAGCGACTGGGAGGGATCAGTATCTGCCCACTGGCGCCCCCGGAACGCCGTCCTCCTCTCCGCCCGGCAACAGCGTTAAACCCTGAAACAGCGGAGTATACATGCCGCCCAAACCTGAGTCCGCTTCAAAGTCAAACCCATACTTCAAACCCGGCTCCGTCGTCGAGGTAAGCTCCGACGATGAAGGATTTCGCGGATCTTGGTTTGTTGGCACCATTGTTGGCCGCTGCACTTCCAAGAAAAACCAGAGCAAATTCTTGGTGGAGTATAAAACCATCATGGCCGACGAGAAGGGTTCCAAACCCCTGAGAGAGATGCTGGACCTTCACCAGCTTCGGCCCCTCGCCCCAAGGGAGACTGACCGCCGATTCAAGTTCGGCGAGGAGGTCGATGCATACCACAATGATGGCTGGTGGGAAGGCTCCATAACCGAAGAATTGGGAAACGGGAGGTTCGCGGTGTATTTCAGGCCCTCCAAGGAGCAGATTGAGTTCGGGAAGGAAGACCTTAGGCTCCATCGTGAGTGGGTCAATGGGAATTGGGTCCCTCCATTGGAAGAACCGTCCGAGGAAAAAGTATGCCTGTCTACGCTCCAATTCCCTTTCTCGTGTTTTCTTGCTCTTGCATTAATGCCTTTTCATTTAATCTTCAATCGCTCGGCCTTTGGCGAAGCGCGGCCCACTGTGACTAGTGTCTATTTACAATAACATTTCCATGTATTCTTCTTCATCATTTCTCAACTAACTCTTTCTTTTGGGGTGGGTTTATTTGTGGTTTGAGGCGGACTAATTTGTAAGAAACTTCTGATCCGAAATTTTGGCTTCATTGCCTTCTGTTGCTCGCGCTGAGTGTGCGGGGATGTTATATCAGTCTGTCTGCGAACTGTGAGTAGGGGAATACATTTTTCGAAGACTAATTATTTGTGGCACAGGGATAGAACTAGGGCTTGAACATGCATTTATGTTGATGAAATTGGTATCTTTAACGTCGACCTCAAATTGTGCCTGGCTGTTAATCATAATAATATTATTAGCTCTTAATCGAATGGCAGAAAATTTTGGCAAACGATGTGAAGGCTAGTGAAGAAACAGTGACGGACATGTTTAGCAAGGGGACACTAGTTGAGGTTAGCAGTGACGAGGAAGGTTTCGAAGGAGCTTGGTTTGCTGCTACTGTTGTTGAACCAAAGGGAAAGGATAAGTTTCTGGTTGAGTACCTGAACCTACGGACTGATGACGATTCGGAGTTCTTGAGAGAGGAAATTGATATGTTACATATTCGGCCTCATCCACCGGAACATGTTTTTGATCAGTTTAATCTTCTTCAAGAAGTTGATGCTTTGTACAATGATGGATGGTGGGTTGGAGTGATTTCCAAAGTTCTTAGCAACTCAAGATACGTAGTCTACTTCAGGAACACCAATGAAGAATTAGAGTTTCCGCACTCCGAGTTAAGGCTACATCAGGACTGGATCAGCGGAAAATGGGTCATTGCTTCTAAGGTATGACTACATTACATACGGTAGCTTAGGTTTTTAATCTTGACATTAGCTTTCCACTGCGATCCTTCAAACGCTTGTTTGGAACCTGAAATTTGTCAATGGGCCATGCAGAGGATCCAATAGCCTAAAAACTGTATACCATTCATGAGCATCTTTAGTTTTGTATGTGGATGAAATATTCCCCTCAAAGTCTACTTTTCCTCCCTCTTGCTAAAACTTGAATAATCGATTTTGCCCATTTAAAACTTTTTTGGGGCGAGGGCGTTCTGTGATGCATACCTTAGTGTTCAAGCCCGCACATAGGAATGTTTTCAGCATTAGCATGAGAATAGGCAAGGGATAATTAGAAAATTGATATTTCTTACATTTTAGTCATTGATAATTAGATTTTGTAGCAGTCTTGGCTTTTCGTAGCCTTTTTAATCTGTCCGCCGAACCTTAAAGATTAAATATTTTGAAACTGAGGAAGCACTTAACCAACTCAAGTTCCTTCATACAACTAAAACAAAGTTTAGTAACCAAATTCTTAAAATTTCTACTTCAAAAGTACTTGGATCTAGTGTTGAAGAGTCAGTTTTTATGGCTGGAGTTGAAATGTGATCCCTGTTAGTTCTTTGAAAAATATTCAGACTAGTAAAAAAAAAAAGAAGGGCAAGTCATGTGGATCGGTCCATTTCACCTGTGTACTTAATGGAATGAGTCAAGATCATCTTGAAATTACAGTGGTTGGTAAAATCTAAATCCAATCTACCGAAATAATTGGGTTAAATGGACTAGTTGCGTGGATTCAATCTACTTTGATGGCCATGGTTGTCAATTTGGTTTTCGTGGTTTGTGGAACTTGTTCTCTGCTCTGCCGTAAGATGAGCCAGAAGGTTGATGTTTATGAAATCCACAGCATCTTAGATTTAGAAGGGGGAATTGTTGTTGTTGTTGTTGTTGTTTTTTTTTTTTTTGGTGTGTGTGTAAGCACCAGATATTCTAAGTTAGGCTATCTTTCAGGCACAACTAGATTAATTCGGATCGAGGTATGATATGAACCATTAAGATTGGCGTTCTTAGCTCCTAAGATGTTACATTCCCATGCGTTGAACTCGAGACCCGTGGGAAAAAATGTTTTTTGATGTATTGGGATCATTGAAAAGAGTTTGGGCAAATGAGTGAAACTTAGTTGTGTGATGGTTCATAAAAATGTGAAGTCTGTGGAGACTGGCACGGATGAGTTCAAACTCATCATAAAATTTGCTGTTTTGTTTTATTTTATTTTTCTTTGCGGTTCAGAGGATGATGATTATATACAACATTAGGAAAAATGGTCAAAATTAATATACAGATTTTGAACTTGTTTTTTTTTTTTCAGTTGAAGATATCAATCATGCAATGCTTTGGTTGAAACTTTTCAGGCATTGAAGTTGTAGACGCTGTAGAAAGGAGATCTGTGAAAGGAAACTAGTGTTAAGGACTTGCGGTCTGGTGATTCGTCAAGGTTGCAGCTAACTGCAGTGGCAGGGATGAAGTTTCACTTGCGGTCTTGCAAATATAGGTAGTGAAGAATATAGAGACAAAGGAAAGGGGGGGACTTGTTACTTTGGTTCTGGCCTTTCGCGTTCGTATAAATCAAAATTGGAAATGGTGGCAAATAATGCCTTCTATGTAATTATATTGGGTGCGGAGGGAAACCAGTTGGAAATGCCGTTTCAAGCTTCCAAGTTTCATCTTTGAGCGAGGGAATGAATAGTTTGACATGAGAAGTGGGCTTCCGTTACATATTTGCGTGCCATGGCACATATTCTGGGGTGAAGCTGCTTCCGCATTCTCTCCATTTCGTTTCCATTCTCGTTGCGCATCTTATTTTTCAGTTTAATGAAAATAATTTTACAAAATCATTAAATTAAAAATCAATTTATTAAAGAAAATTGATTTTTTTTAAATAAGGTTGAAATCTGGAAGGGTTATAAAACTTCAATCCATTTTAAAAGTAGTCCCCCTTTTCCTATAAGTTTCAAATTTGGAGAGAATACGTTCTATTTTGTAAGTTTTAGTTTAGGTTTATTTTAACATTTAATGTATTTTTTAATTTTATTTTTAATTATTTATTTTGTTTAGCTATACTCTTTTTCATCACATTTCTCTATACATTTTTTCAAAAATAAAAATATACTTCTAATTATTTATTCTTTTTTTTGTGATATTCTCTTTCATTACATTCTCTATTTATATATATATATATATATATATATATATATATATCCTCTTTCTTACTTATTATAAGGACAGATTTAAAAATAAAAATATACTTCTAATTTATTAATTATTTTTAATTAATTTTAACTGATTTTTTATTGTTCGCAAATTAATTACTTGAAATTTATAATAATAACTGTATGGATCAGTTGCTCTTTGGTCAAAATTCTTTGCTAACGAAATTATTAGACCACATTGACATTTTTTATCATAAAAAATTATAGAAAACCATAATATTCATGAGAAACTCGTTGTGCATACTGTTTTTAAAAGCCCAAATTTGTTAGGGTGGCAATTTTGAGATGGATTTGAGGATAAAGGTGGGAGCCCAATTTAGAGCGCGCGTGACACGTGCGCAACATCTTGGGGCCACCCCGCTCACCTCCTTTCCCAATCCTTGCCTGTCATCTCCACCATACCAGCTTGCCAGTTCTGATGGCTTCTCCACACCACGCTCCCCTCGCATTCTGAGGTGTGCCCTTCAATCGCACCGCCACGCCTTCGCCTTCTCTTTCTGAGGTCTAGCTTCTCTACTTCACGCATTCTGAACTGCTGTTTATAGTGAGAATGACAGAGCTGTTCATGGACCCGAAGCTTAACTCTTATTTGCGGCCAGACATGAAAATCCATAATTATAATACCGGACCACTAAACGTTTAGCCAAATAATAACTATTTAGTGATGAAGAGAATGTAATGAGTGGTCATTTGGTTATTGAAGCCAAAATTAGAGAAAAAGAAAAGAACGAAGGGAAAAGTAGCATAAAATCGTCCCCATTTGGCATTGAATGAAACGTCTAATTAGTGGTGGAATTTGTATGGCCCTCACATGAAAGGTAATCTTGGCAACAGAACAGAACAGTGAAGTCGCCCTTCAACTGCAAGCATTACTGAAGCCCGACTGATTCACATCTGCAGTGGCAGACTTGTTAATTTCCCTCTAACCCAAATAAGTACTTGAAAACACTGTTATTATCATTATTACTACTTAAAGCTTAAAATTTGTATTAAATATGTTTACACTAAGAAATACTAGATTTACTTGAAATCTTAAATGACAGTGTTTCCTGATCTTCTAAATAGTATTGGCCGCGTCACCCGGAGGCAGTGATGGGCAGGCAGGGCGAATTTTGTTTCTCTCTCGCCAGATTTGAAGCCGACTCTCAGCAGAAAAATGTTATTAAATCAAATATGTTAACCAGTTGTATCAGTAGTTTCTTTTAACAAATGAAAGAGATGATCTGATTGAAAATACACCAGGTGACCCGAACATGGCGAATGGAAACAGAGGAAAAACAAAAATGGAGTGTTCCCTGTTCTTTCGAGTTCTTAAGAGCACTGCAATTTGCATAGCGAGAATTTGGATGCAAATGCGTTGCGCTGGGTGCACAAAAAGAAGATTGTGGGAACAAGACAAAGTAAAGCGAGGCAGGAGGCAGGTGGCTGAGGCTGACGCAGGAAAGGGCAGCAATTCTCTACGCTCAAGAACAAGTCGCTTGATAACACCACATTACCTAAATAAATTCCCTAATTGTCAATTTCCCAAATTGCTCGCCCTTACCCTTCCCTTCTAAACGGGACTCCCAGGGATATAACAGTCAAATCACAAAAAGGTTGTTCTGCCAACGGACTTGTATCGTGCAAGGAAAGGGAGAAAGAACAGAGAGGGGAAAAAAATAAAGTGGAGGGTTGAAGAGCCTTGTGTGTTCGTAAAGCTTACATGCCACAAATTTTGACACCCTCTTCCTTTTTTATTCCTTCCCACCTCATAAGTCCTCAATTTTGATCACACCTTCCGAGTTCCAAATCCCACCTCCAACCCATTGCTCAAACACAATCTCATAATAATCAAGGACCAACTTTTGGCTGAGAGCGCACGAGTCAAGGAGATCATAGCAGTTTCCTTTTTCTGATTTGATTAGATCAGAGGGGTGAGAAGAGAAGAAGAGGAAACGATGTCCTGCTCCTCGTCGTCGGGGTCCGAGGAGGATGATGAGGGCTTCGAATCCTACAGGAAAGGAGGCTACCATGCCGTCCGGGTTGGCGATCAGTTCGCCGGCGGCAGATACATAGCACAGAGGAAGCTCGGTTGGGGTCAGTTCTCTACTGTCTGGCTTGCTTACGATACTCGCACCTCTGTACGTCTGATCCTTCCTCTTCTATTGCTGCGTCGTGAATTTGTTTATCCATCTTTTTTTTTTCCCCTCCAAGTCTTTTCCACATTTTTTGATGACTTTCGCGTGTGATATATATCTTGGATGTAAGATTTTTTTTCCTTGAAACTTCTCCCTCGATTGCAATCGGTTTTGAATCTATGGGAGCAATTCAGTTACAACGTCTTTGTTACGGTGTGTTCTCAATTCATCAATTTAGAATTTCTGTTTTTGACAACGTGAAGCTTTTACAATATCAGCGATTTTCCTTTGCTTCTCGCCCTCATTTCTGATATAGACTTGAGGATCTTTTTATATACTTGTACAATGACCACCATCTTGAATTCACCAACCCCATCTTATGTTTGCGTAAATCACTTAATCTGTCATAGATGTATGGTTGAAAAATCTTACATAGAAGAAAATAGTTATACCAATGTTGTTATTGACTCCTCCTTTTTTCCTTCTTTTGGGTGGACGGGCCTGGATTTTATTTTTTTGGGGATCTTTTTCTAATTCTGCACCTCTGGTTTTCAGACATACGTTGCTCTTAAGATCCAAAAGAGCGCAGCCCAGTTTGCTCAGGCTGCCCTTCACGAGATTAGTGTTCTTTCGTCTATTGCTGATGGTGACCCTTCAAATTCAAAGTGTGTTGTCCACTTGATCGATCACTTTAAGCATACAGGGCCAAATGGACAGCACCTTTGTATGGTCCTTGAGTTTCTTGGTGATAGTTTGCTCCGCCTGATCAGATATAACCGTTACAAAGGCCTTCCATTAAGTAAAGTTAGGGAGATTTGCAAATGTATTTTGATTGGTCTGGATTACTTGCACAGAGAACTTGGTATAATCCACACTGATCTAAAACCTGAAAACATTCTTCTCTTTTCTTCTATTGATGCTTCCAAAGATCCTGTCAGATCTGGACTTTCCCCAATCCTAGAGAGACCAGAGGGGAACCCAACTAGTGGGGTTACGAGTCTTGTTGAGAAAAGGTTCAAAAGGAGGGCAAGGAGGGCAGTTGCTAAAATATCTGAAAAGCGTGATTCAATGGGAGGAGCAGGAGAAGCTCGGAAGTCTGAAAGAAATGTTGAAGGGATTGATGTGAGATGCAAGATTGTAGATTTTGGAAATGCATGTTGGTCCGGTAAGCAAATTGCTGAAGAAATCCAGACAAGGCAGTACAGAGCTCCTGAAGTAATATTGCAGGCTGGTTATTCCTTCTCTGTTGACATGTGGTCTTTTGCTTGCACTGCTTTTGAACTTGCCACTGGTGATATGATGTTTACCCCAAAAGGTGGACAAGACTATAGTGAAGATGAGGTGTGGTGATTTTGCTTGAACGATATTATAGTTCCATTCAGTCCAGTAACTTTTGCATGGAAAAACTTGTGATAATTGCTTCAACATACACTGAATATCATAATATCCTTGACATTTCAGCAACATTAAAGCTACATGAATTTCTTAATAACTGGTTTAACTGGAATTCCTGATACTTGCTTAGAAGTTCTATGTTCATAATGCTCGTGCAAATATTAAACTCATGGATGGACTAAAAGTACTTATGAACTGTATTTAGGCTAGAGGAGTCTTATAGAAATACCGTCTGGAAATTGTTGCTTGTGATGTTAGATTAGAGCCGGGTAGGTTGGTTATTAAATTCTAGTTTCGTATTGCGACTCTGTTTGTCGATCATCATAATAGACAGAAAATCTAGATGCGGATTTCTGGGTCGAGTCTCATGCTATCATGTTCCTTGCGCGATGCGTTTGCATTTTTAGCTAGGCTGGCATTTAACTATTGTTTAGTTCTTTCAGCCAAAAGAGAGGGGAAAAAAGGAAACATTCTTTGATTTTTCATGGACCTGGTACTAGAAATATTTATAGTGATTGTGAGCATGCAAAAGCACGTTCTGAACCCTTGGGATTGTATATTAGAAGAATAACATAACTACACGTTGCGGTTTCAGGATCACCTGGCCATGATGATGGAACTTCTTGGGAAAATGCCCCGTAGGGTGAGTACATTCCTATGGCATTGGTATGGCTCTTGAAAATGCTATGCTAGCATGTCTAATGCGTGTATTGCAGGTTGCAATCTCTGGAGCACGATCCAAGGATTACTTTGATAGGCATGGGGATCTAAAACGGATTCGGAGGCTAAAATTCTGGCAGCTTGATAAATTGTTGATTGATCGATACAAATTTTCAGAGAATGATGCAAGGGAGTTCTCAGACTTTCTTCTGCCGCTTCTTGAGTTTGCACCGGAGAACCGGCCAACAGCCCGGCAGTGCTTGCAGCACCCTTGGTTTCGTGGTAAGGATTCAACTCCGTGTGAAAAGAGAAATGAGCCTAGTGTGGAAAAGGTTAATGTTGGGATGAACAACCTTAAAATCAAGGTGGGAAAGTGAAGGGTGCTTCGCAATGACTTCACTTTGAGGTCCATCTTTCCACTTGAATGAATGATTTTGTTTCCCCCCGGTCACGGCTTATATTTGGCTTGCTTTTTTTTTTTTTTTCACTGGATTTATTTTTTCTTTTTCTATTGAATTAACTACGAAGATGTAAAGTATTGAAGAATTTTGTGAGCAAAATGACACCGTCCAGAGGCTTGCTGACACAGGAACGTGTTGATTCTTGCGTGTGAGATAATTCATTTTGACATTATTCTGAATGAAGTCACAGCATACAAGGGCTCTTATTAGAAAAATGTTGAAGGCATACTTCGTGTGCCGTAGTTGTATGAATCCAAACATGGGAAGGGTTCAAACTTAAAAGAATTGTTTTAGGTTAAAGTATGTTCTTTTTTTTTTGGACTGAGGTTAAAGTATGTTGTATGAGATTTCAATTTGATTTTTTAATTTTAAAAAAGGCAATATATACCTTTGATCTGTTAATTTAGTCTTTTAATTTTTAAAAGTATATTTTTAATAATTTTATCCTAAAATTTTAAATGATAGTTTTTGTAAAAATAATACTTATTTTGAAAATTAAATTTAATAAATCTTTTATTGATATTTAAGATTTCAGTGTTATCTTTGTATTTTTTTAACGGTTTTAGGATTAGAAGACAATATAATTTTTAAAGATCAGAGAAAAACTGAAATCTTATATAAAATTAAGGAAAAATTTCAGAAAAAACCCTTGAAATATAGAAAATTTCAGATTAGGTCTCGGAATTTTGAAAATGACAGAAAGGGTTAATGACCCAATCTGTCATTTGCAAAATCAAGAAGAATTGACAACTTTGCCCTCATTTGTATTCATTACAATGATTTACGGAATCACCATAAGGGTTTAGGTGTTACTTAGATTTGTGTAGAGAATAACTACTCACTTAAATCATTGTAGTGAATAAAAATGAGAGCAAATGAAAAAGTGAGTAGTTATTCTCTACACAAATCTAAGTAATGCCTAAACCCTTATAGTGATTCCTTAAATCATTGTAGTGAATAAAAATGAGGGTAAAGTTGTTAATTTCTCTTGATTTTGCAAATGATAGATTGGCTCATTGACCCTTTTTGTCATTTTCAAAATTCTAGAACCCAATCTGGAATTTTCTATATTCCAAGGGTTTTTTTAATTTCTCCTAAAATTAAATGGCTAAATGTATATTTTTGCCTTTTAAAAGTAGATTTTTAATTATTTAACTCTAGACCATTAATGAAAAATGATAATACTGAAATCTTAAATATTGATACAGAATTCTTAAATGTTAACATATTAAATTTAATTTTCAAAGAAATCATGAATCATTATTTAAAACTAACAATTTTAGAATTAAATGACTAAAATTATAATTTTAAAGTTAAGAAATCAAATTAAAATCTTGTATAAAATTAAAAAAAATAAATGTATAATTTTATTATTATTTTATTATTTTACTGGGTAGGATATGGATTCTATCGAATTGGATATAAACAATTCGATCCCCAAGAAAAATGGGATGCAAATGATAATAATACCTTTTTTCTATCTCAAAACCATATCAAACATGTTTCGAGTCTTGAAATTTAGAATTTGGGTTGTTTAAGTTATTTATAGGCTGAAATTAGGGGTGATAACACATGCTGTGGAGGGTTAGGATTAAATATTACAGGTTAAAAAAAAAAACTTGTGTAATGGTTAGTTAATCCTAGCCTGTCGTGGTGGGCAACTATTATTTTCTTTTTAATTTTTTCATTTTAAAATATATTTTTATACAATATAAAAAATATAATAAAATTTTTATTTTTTTTAAAGTATTTGATCGAAAACACCAAATAAATGAAAGAAGTATTTTTTAAAACATTTTTTAGATAGGATATAAAATATAATAATATACTATAATAATTAATAAATAAAAAAATAAATGCGTGCTAGCTCATAGGACTGTAAGTTTGGCAGTGCAGGTTGAAAAGCTTCATTTATTGGTGGATTAGCTTTCAGTTAAACCTAACCTATTATTTTTTTTCCAATACAACCTATATTACCAAATGTAGATAAAATAGGTGATTTGGAACATCTCTTATGGATAGTTTATGTACTTGGTGCAAATCTTGCCTTTTGTAGGAAGAAAAAAATAGGTTACTACTTACTACAAAGCAAGCCCTGAAATCAATATTATAGTAGACAATAAAATATCATCGTGTCATTATTAATGGCTAAAGTGAAATACAACTAAAATAGAACTAATATGTAAAGATAAAAATCAAATACTAGTGTTTGAAAAACATGGGAACAATACCAAAAATCATGATTTTCTATCGTCATTATAGAGGGAGCAGTGTGCTTGCATTTGCATATAGAATGGCTAAAAGGATTTGAGTGATCTAAGCTATGGATTTGCCTGACATCTTATGAATACTATCTAAAACTGAGAACTTGCCATGCACATATATTAGTCCGGAAAAGAATCTCCTACGGCCCAGCGCACCGTCTCATTAGCAACGCGGCAGCCAGTCAGCCACGGGTGAATCGCGCGGTCCTTTCAGTTTCAGTTGTCACGTTGGAGCTAATCGCCTTCCTTTCTTGTCCTGCACAGTGGTGAAGCTAGCTATGTTTCTTCCCCATACCCCGGCAATTCTTATTGAAATCGCGCCATGACCGGCTGAGAAACCAACGCCGGCATTCCCTGTTTTTTTTTTTTTTTTGGCTGCGAAGCTTCGACGGTCGCGTTAGTTTAATTCTTTTGCTAGTGCTTAGTTCGATGACGACCATAACGCCTTTGCCCGAGGATGTCCGGAGTTGGTTGCGTTCTGGCATTTTCTTGTTCGACTTGACGAGGGTAGGGTTGTGGAAGAACTGGTTTTCAACAGCCTGGATGCTGGCGCAACTAAGGTATTTATCCATCTATCCTATGATTAGTGCAAGTATTACTAGATTACTAGAGAGGGAAGTTGTCTGGCTTAAAGAATTGCGGTTGCATTGATATAACCGGTCGGTCTATGATGTTGGTCTAGCTTAGACGCAGTGCTCAGTGCAGCCAATGAATGCGCTATCGTGAAATCGCGCCATGACCGGCTGAGAAACCAACGCCGGCATTCCCTGTTTTTCTTTTTTTTTTTGGCTGCGGAGCTTCGACCGGTCGCGTTAGTTTAATCTTTCTGCTAGTGCTTAGTTCGATGACGACCATAACGCCTTTGCCGAGGATGTCCGGAGTTGGTTGCGTTCTGGCATTTTCTTGTTCGACTTGACGAGGGTTGTGGAAGAACTGGTTTTCAACAGCCTGGATGCTGGCGCCACTAAGGTATTTATCCATCTATCCTATGATTAGTGCAAGTATTACTAGATTACTAGAGAGGGGAAGTTGTCTGGCTTCGAGAATTGCGGTTGCATTGATATAACCGGTCGGTCTATGATGTTGGTCTAGCTTAGACGCAGTGCTCAGTGCAGCCAATGAATGCGCTATCGTTCTGTTCTTTTTTCACGGACTGTGGATCCCGCTATGACATACATCAGGCCATTATTTAGTGAGGAATGAGGATGAAATCGCACGGAACCAGTATTTTGAATGCGGGGGTAATACTGTTGAGAGGCAGCGAGAGGACTGAGGAGTTTTTGTGATTGATTTGGTGACTAGAAGATGGTTTGGTTACAGTGATTCTGGGATATTCCTTTGGAAAGCTTTTTGGTCTGTATATCAGGACTAAAATAATAATGATATCACTAATAAGCTATTGGTTGAGGTAGTAGCGACCTAACCCGTGTAAGGAGGAAAATATAAATTCGACTCCCGGGAAGCGCAATTGTTAGGAAGACTATTCTTTAATTGCTCCAGACCGGAAAGGGATTAATCTCAAGTTCTACGTGACTTATGGATACCCTTGTTTTACCTAAAAAAATAATAATGACATCATTTATGGATTTCTGTTGAAGATTGTAGCTGACCAACTTCAGCCTATGAGGATGACTAAGGGAAGAAAATTCTACCTCCCATCAACTGTAAAAGTATAAAACAGATACCATTTGCATTGCTAGCGGTTTATTACCAATTAGTTATGGCTTTTGTTTTTGCAGGGTTCTGATCTCAAGTCACCTTTGAATTCTGAGCATCCGATGTTTATGTTTTAGTCAACTAATTGTCTATTTGGTCAAAGGGATGGCTGAATCCTTGAACTGTCTGATATATTTGTTACAGATCTCAATCTTTGTTAGTGTCAGGAGCTGTTACATAAAAGTAGTGGATGATGGTAATTATTTTCATTTTTTTTTTTAAACGTTATCTGAGTTGAAAGTTGAAACCATATGGTACATTTGACTGTGATCCATCTTCCTGTTTCGAAACAATTATATTTATAGGAGTTGGTATTACTCGAGATGGATTGGCGATCGTTGGAGAGATACGGTATGCACTTTGTCAATTTATCATCTTTTCTCACTCTCCTTTACCTGTAAGACTTGTTGCTAATGCTAGTTGATGTTCTCGCACTTCTTTCTCATTTATGATTTTTTGAATGAAATGATCCCAGACCTTGCTCATTTTAAAATTTGGCGGGTAAAAATTGATGATTAAAGACCGAAATGGGCTTATTTATTTATTTTTGTGATTCACTAGTAACTATGCTATTGTTATAAGATAAGGGCCTCATATTGTCATCTCTCGTGTATTTCATTTATTGTTCTTTTTTTGGTGGTCGTTATAAGTTGTCAAATTAGCTTAATTGCTTATAGATAGATAGATATATATATATATATATATATATTTGTAAGTTCACAGACGCAAAGGTCCTCTGAGTCAGCATTTGGTAAAGTTGTTTTAACAAAAAACCATTCATGCTCATGATCATTTGACAAATAGAGATGCCCAGGAACCTTGTTTAAATTATGTGAATCTAGTTTCCCAAGTTGCCTATGATAATGGGATGTATCATATGTATATTGTACAAGCAGCAACATCAAAGTTACTTAGTTGGCTGATCTGAATGGCATAAGTCGAAGCTTTGGTTTTCGGGGGGAAGCTTTAGCTTCAATTTCAGAAGTTTCGGTGTTGGAAATTTTGACAAGAACTTTTGGAAGGGCAAACGGGTACCGCAAAGTGTTGAAGGTGTGGATAAGTTCTTACCATTTATTCATCATGGCTATTTTGTCCTGGTGAGTTGAATGGTGCATCTGCTGTTGATTGCTACGTTTATTAACTCAAGCTTTTTCTGTGATTGCTGCAGGGCTGCAAGTGCTTATATCGTGGTATAGATGATGATAGAAAGGAAGTGGGAACAAACAGGTAATAATAATTGGTTAATCAAACATTTGCGTTTTTTTCCTTTATTATTCTGTTTATATGCAGGAATAAGATAAATGCATGGATAGGCATCGGTCGTTCTTTTCTAAGTCTTCCCCCTTGATCCTCATATGGACTGTGAACTTGTACTATTTGGGATGTTGGGATGTAATATGGTTTCCCTCTCTTTTTTCTTTTGATATTCCTTGGTGATGTAGCATAATAATAATTTTGTTTTAATATTGCAGTTATAACATGTTTTGACTCATTGCCATTTGGATCTAGGTGATTCACTTTTTGTAGTCTCTTTCGGGTTGGTTGAAGCCATTGCCAAGACACTCAAGGCAAAAGGCACTTTTAAGGCTTTAGACCTCTTGAACATCTTAGATAAGGGACACTAAAAGATGCATTTCCAAGTGAAACAAGGTGCCAAAATAGAGAATAGCCTGTGATATGCTACGCAAAAAATAAATAACCAAGCCTACATTTCTAACAATGTTTGACTGATGAATTAAGTACTCAAGCATGCTAGTGAGCTTTGGTTTTTCTTTGTTTGTATTCATGAACTCTAAAAAACAGTCTGAATAATCTAGAGCCAAAATGACTATTTTACCTTATTCTTAAACCTCTAAGCTTGGGTTTTGTAGTTTCCTATATTATCCCTGACTATTTTAAAAACATTTTAGTTGGGCTTCTAAGTTGCTCTTCCCTTAGAGTCAGCCATCTACTTTAAGTTGTCTTAGCTGCACATCTAAACTGATGCCGAAAGCACCAGCGGCATAGTCAGGCAGATTTCTGGCTTACATAATGATTTTTTTATCTTATCTGTTCCAATTTATTGACACATTGACATTCATTGCTAATTGAGGCTTTTTATCTTTCAGTTGTTGTCCGTGATTTGTTTCACAACCAACCAGTTCGGAGGAGGAGGAAACATGTGCAATCCAGGTTCCTTTTTTCCTCATCCCATCACTTTTTAACATGCATATGATAGTCTTAATTGTAAATGAAAATATATCTGTTTCCAAAAATTTGTACTGACTGATGAGTAAAATTGGAAGCCCAAAGAAGGTTCTGCAATCAGTCAAGAAATGCATGCTGCGGGTCGCACTTGTGCATCCGAATATTTTGTTCAAAGTTGTTGATATTGAAAGGCACGTTGCTTGCAAATTCATGAGTCATATCTTCCCTCTTTCCCGTTTCTTTTCTTTGTGGGTTTCCAAGGTTTTAACAACATTCTCTATTCTGTTCCCTATAGTGAGGATGAACTTCTTTGCACACAGTCTTCTTCTTCTCCGCTATCACTTTAACCAGTGGCTTTGGGGTGGATGTGTCAACTGGCTGTTAAGTTTGAGAATCTGGACTCACGGAATGCAGTGACAAGTTCCTGAACAAGAAGAGAAGTAGATCACAAGCATATCCAGCTTATATCTTGAATTTGCTTTGCCCACGGTCTCTGTATGATTTAACCTTTGAGCCATCAAAGACTTCTGTTCAATTAAGGTAGTCTCTTTGGCTTTTCTTGTCTTTACTATTTACTATTCTAGTGATTATGTACACTAACAAGAATCATCAGTTATACAGAGAGAGAGAGATAATTTCTTAGTAGTAACTTTATTCTCAAACCACCCTATTTTTGGATAAAAAGTGCTGCAGTACATCTTCTTCTTCTTCTTCTTTTTGCTGGGGTGTAGTACGTCTAGAACATCTTACTTTCAACAGGAGCAGTTATCCTACTAGTGCTAGAATATAAAATAACTTGACCTTCTTAATCTATAAACTTATAACTTGATTGTTGAAGATGTCTTTCCTGAATTATTTTATCCCAAGACTTCAGCAATGCTGCTTAGAATTTGACTCCTTCCAACCACACTTTTGAAGGATTGGGCTTCTATACTGAACTTCATTGAGAAGGCCATCAAAAATTTCTGGGGGAAGAGTATAACTCCTGGTATTGCTGCATCTTACTGGTATTTGATACAATGAATTGGTAGTGACTATACTTACGTAAATCATTTATATGCTTGTAGGAGAGTCATCTAATGCCACTCATGAGGTGCAAGCATCCCAAATGTGCAAGGAAATTGATGATGCTATTTTGGTTGAAGCAGGTGAAATTTTCTGCTTTGTTGTATTTGTTAATTAAGTATGGTCAATTTCTGGTTAAAAATAATACCCCCTGTAAGCAGCACTATTTTTTATTTTAGGGAAAAAATCTGCAAACAATCCCTCATAGGTTGCCAGGGTTGATGGTGGGTTAGTTTGTCTTTCAACAGTTGAAAATAATTGCCAAATCTCTTTGATGCAGATATAGCGAACTGTGGAAACCGAAAGAGTAAGGAATTCTCTGGCCTTTTCTTGTCCACTTCTGACAAGTTGGCTGAAGATGACCATTGCCTGTCTGATGGGCAAGTCACTAGACCCTCCCTTGGTTATTTGCCCTCAGGTGCTGCAAAGTTCAAAGAAAAACCGAATAAGAGAGACTTTTTCTGTCAGACTGGCTACTCTAGCTTTTCAATGGATGGGTCATATGCCAAGTATGATTCCACTGTGACCATAAATCATTGCAGTGTGTGGAATGATAACAACTGTATATCTGGAAGAGATGATTTATTGGATGGTGAGTTTGCTGCTGGAGAAATCTTCAATGATGATGTGTCTTTTGATGCACCAAGCTCGTCAAAGGGAAATAAATTTCTTGAAGTTGATGATGATAGGCTCAGTGAATCATCCCAACGTGCCTTGCATTATGGCTGTCGTGAGATTGACGGGGATTTTCAAAAGCCTTTTTTGAAGAGTTGCTCTGTACGAGGCAGTGATCCGCATGAGAAGGCCTTGTTTGCAAATGATGAACATGAGTTTCAAATTGATGGCTATAGCACCAAACAAGATATGGGAGTTTATAGTGGCAGAGTTGAGAACATAGGTGCCCATCCCTGTCCAGAAGTTGTAGAAATGTTTAACACATCTAGAGATTCTGTTTTTCTCTCAAGAGCGTCTGGTGAAGAAAAATGTTTTCCTTCAGATTCATGCTCTCTGGCAACACAAATGGGATGCCCTGGGTCTGCTAAAGAAAAATGTTTTCCTTCAGATTCAAGCTATCCAGAGTTACTGACATCAGAACATTACCCTATCTTCAAGACACTGTTACCTGAAGCCACTGCTTGGGATGTTGATCATATGACTGGCACTGGTCTTGATGTTCTTGGAGGAATACCTATATGCTATAAATGGGGTGATTATGAAAGAATTTTTGATGATGAAGAAAATAGATGCAATTTTAGCTGTGATACCTCATACAGCTTCAACTCAGATCGGCGCATGAGAAGTTTTGGAAACAGTAGATTGTATTTTGATGGTCCCAATGACTCTAATAATTCAAATTTTACCAAATGGCTAGATCCTAAGTTGGTCAAATGGCCTGATTGTTATGATATAGGTTCCAACAAATGGTCAGATATTTTAGCAGATGAGTCAGATTGGTTGTGTCCCGTGTCATGTGGTGGAAACTACCGAAGACTTAGTGAGAAAAGAATAAAAAAGGATCATGTTAGACATCCAGCTTCAGAAAAGAATCATGAAAGATCTAGAAGAAGCTTTTCAGCCCCTCCATTTCACAAAAGCAGAAGAAGGTTTAATTCTTTAAAGCAGCCTTTAACGATGATAGCCAAAAGACCTGCGGGCCTAGCCTCCAACTGTGCTTTAAAGAATAGAGGTTTTTTCCTTCTTCCCCCTCTTTCCTCTCGTTTTCCATGTAGCAATATTTTTCCACTGAAAAAAATTGGAATGATGCTTTTAGAATTGGCAGAAGCTGATGAAGAGTGTCCCCAGCAGTCTTCTGGTCCACTTCACCCACCTCCTGAGGAACATTTGTTTCTTGAAAACAAGTAGGACCAACCATAATGTCCTTGCTTACGCTGCTGTAATGTTGCAAATTAATTCTCGCTGACACAGTTTTGCAACGATTTTAGTTCCATTGTGAAGAAGAAAACAGCTACTCTGGAAGATATACAGCAAGTTAATAGCAATAAAGAGTCTGAATGGTTTCAAAGTTTAAATAGTGAAAGCAATGCTCCATTTAAAGGTGAGTCCAGTGTCTGCAAAATAATTTGGTCTGACAAAGAGTTCATTTCAAACACAAGTGTTTTCTGTTCAACATGGCTCAGCCTTGGATTCAGAGTACATAGAAATAAGACCAGCACTGAGTGGGCTGCTAATTTTTCATTCTGGTTTGAGTCACTGATTGAAGTGATAAGAATGTTCATATATGACTGCTTAGAGTCATAATAAAAGTTTAGCAACATCGTAAGCTTCTAGAGGCGTATTTGTTGTACAGCTTTTACAAACAAAACCAAATCGAGTCAGTTTGGAATTTGCATTACCTTCTGTACTTAGGAAGTTTTGGTTGCCATCTTCATTCAGTTGTGGTTGTAGTTGATTGTTTCATTTCTTGTTTATTTTATTAAATAATTGAGTGATTTAAATCATATTTGTCTAGGGTTAACATGCTGTATATTATTTTGCAGAAGTGACCTCAAGAAAAGTGGAAGATTCTATGGATTACCGGACAAAGTGGCGGGACGGCTTACCTCGAATTCCAGTTATGTTTCCAATTTTCAGAGGCCTATTTCTTTTCAGATGAGAATCATTAGAATGCTAGTTGATGGTGTGATCTGACTGGTGATTGTGACCATTCTGCAGACGAAGGATAGATCACTTGATTTTAACAGTCAAGATGATATACTTGACATATCTTCTGGATTCTTGCATCTTGCTGGTGACTCATTAGTACCTGAAGCGATCAGTAAGAACTACCTTGAGAATGCCAGAGTTCTTCATCAGGTGGATAAGAAATTCATTCCAGTTGTGGCCGGCAGAACCCTTGTTGTTATTGATCAGGTCTGTCTTCAGTGGATTTTTGAATTATTGGCTTGTGTATTTTACGTGGCTCACATATAGGTCCCTGATTGGACAACACAGAAACTGATTATGATGATTCTGGCTGAATAGAAATATAATTGGCTAGAAATTCTCTTAGCAGTCACGCACTTGTTTCTATCTGAGTTTTGTTTTCCTCACGTGCATGTTCTTGTTACGTATACTTCTATTTAAAAGGCTGTAGTTCAATGCCTAGATAGATGCATGTGCTTCTTTACCCGATAATGGATTCCCGGTTACGTTGGAATTTTAAGACAAACCTCACTAGTAAGCATGCTGTCAGAGACTTGGAAGACCTGTCTTCAGCAAGGTTTTGTTTGACATTGATAGTAGTATTTCCTTATTATTATTATTATGTTTAAAAACCAGCATGCTGCAGATGAGAGAATCAGATTGGAAGAATTACGTCAAAAGGTAAATTTTTTCATGATGAATGTATTCAAAATATTTCTCCATCATGACTCACAAAACTTGTTGAATACATAGGTATTATCCGGAGAAGCAAGGACAATAAGCTATCTAGCTGCTGAACAGGAACTGGTATGGGTCCTGCGTTATGAGAGGATCTTCGGAAAACTTTCACTTGCCCTGTTTTCTGAAGTTTGAGATTACTGTGTTACATTGATTGCTGATACAGGTGCTGCCTGAGATTGGCTATCAACTATTGTACAGTTATTCCGAACATATTAAAGATTGGGGATGGATCTGTAACATTCATGCTCAAGATTCAAAATCCTTCAAGCAGTATGTCTAACACAAATTCACGGTGATCTTGATAATTGATGTTAAAAGTTAATTAATACTCATTATAGTGTTTATAACAAAGTAACGCCATTCATATATTAATGGAATTGTATAAATTTTCTAATAACCAAATGACTAGTGATTTGGTCTTAAATCAAATGGTAGACTGATTTTTGTGTCGTATTATTCATAATGTCGACTGCCTTGGCAGGAGTTTGGATCTTCTCAACAGGCAGCCGGCTGTTGTTGCACTTACTGCGGTGAAAAACTGTCATCTCCTTCATTTATTTATTTGGTTTTAAATATGTGGAAAATATCAATACATATATATTAGCATCTTTGTATTTTTGTCAACCTCAATAGTAAATTGGATGCGCAATTATTGCTACAAGCTATGTTACTTTTCATATTACTGATGTTAGCTAAATATGAATAATAGCAGGTACCCTGCGTTTTAGGTGTCAACTTAAATGATACTGATCTTATGGAATTTCTTCAGCAGGTTATCTAAATAAAAACTGTGCCTGAGTTTTCCTCTTTTTATGATATCGTGTAATTTTGCATTTACTCTCTTTACTCTCTCTCTGTTTTTTTTTTTTTTAATAAGCTTACTCTCTTTACTTTTAGCTTGCTGACACAGATGGATCATCGCCAGTGCCACCTGCTGTTGTACGGGTTCTTAATTTGAAAGCATGCAGAGGTATGTGCTTTGTCTCGGTAGCAATTTCATGCTCATGAGCTTGGAAATCCTGAGGCGTGCTTACAAGGTTCTGCATATCGATTGGTCTTTCTTTTCCTTCGAAGAGTGGAGGACTCTGGACATGGTCCTGGCCCTTGCGCTTTCCTATTTTGACTATAATAAGCTAGCGAACATAGAGCTGCATTTTCAATATGAAATGTTTCCCTCCTTTTGACGCCTCCAAGGAATTGTTCTTTCCTGAAATAACGTGAATGTTAGCATCTATTGGCAGCCTCTTTATCCTAAATTTTAGTTGCCTATCTTGTAATTTTGTGGAGAGGGAAAGTTATGGAGATTGCAGTCATCAACAGCACTGTTAACTGTGTCAATACGTTATTGTGAAGGTGCAATTATGTTCGGAGACTCGTTGCTGCCCTCTGAATGTTCGCTCATTGTTGAGGAGCTAAAGCAAACGTCACTGTGTTTCCAAGTAAGATCTTGTAAATGTTTCCGTGTTTCTCAGTGAATTTTGAGAAAGGGGAGCCCTTTGATGACAATATTTGAGGACTTTGGCGTGCAGTGTGCTCACGGGCGACCAACTACTGTTCCTCTTGTCAACTTGGAGGCTCTGCATAATCAGATAGCCAAGCTTGCACCAATGATCGATTGCTTGAATGATGAGTGGCACGGACTACGAAGACATAAAATTAGTGCTGAACGTGCTGCACGACGTTTATGTTCCTCTGGAGAATAGTTTTTTTTTTTTAAGAATAGTTTGACCGGGAAGCTATACTTTGTAACTGAGTGTACAGCAGTTCTAGAAGTTTAAAACAAAGGACCCTGTGGAGGTCCGAAAAAGAAATATATATATATATATATATATATATTGCCAAAAAGGTCATTTTTATTAATCTCGAAAAATCATACACAAACCTACGTATATAACCTAACACAGCTAAATCCCGGGGGGGGGGGGAGATTATGCTATGACGGTCTAGAAAAAAATTGTCAACTATTTATCTATACAATGACAAACTAAAACGAACTATACAGATTATACATATACCTATATCAACTAAACAAACTAAGCCATATTAATTACCATCTAAAATCAGCAACCAAAAACCTTCAGCCGAGTCCACTTCGGTCTCACCCTTCCACATTTGAGCTTCTTCCCTTTTCACCAAATAATAAAATATAATTGAAGTTGAGGTTTTTAATTCCAAATCTATAAAGGGTTCTCTTTTTCACTTGCTTCTTTACCATATTGGTCAATATTGATTAACAATAGCTGCTGAATTTGTAGCTATATGACGCTAACTCAAGTGATAAGAGTGTGCGTGAGACAGGTAGCAATTAAGGGTTTGAATTCGCCTAATATGACAAAAAATGTATAAATAGTTACAAGGAATGAATTCATCGACGTCCAAGGTGAGTAATTTGTAATTGCGTAAGCTTAGTTATTGAACTTTCAATTTTAAAGGTTTACAAATAAAGACGCTCATTTGCAGTCAAAGTAAAAGTTCTAACTTGCAAGAATAAAACAACTGGAAGTCGTCCCATTTGCGCTTGCTTCACATCACACTCTTCCTCTTCCTCATTTCATTTGTTTTTTTTTTTTTTTTTGTGTGTTTTTCCCCTTTCTCATTCAATTAGAAATAGATTGCTTAATTTCATCAAATTTATTAAAGCATCATTTGCTATACAAATAAAATAAAAAAAATTCATAAATAAGAAATATCCGTGTATTTCAAAAATAACGATAAAGACATCATACATATATTTTAGAATTTATTACACACGTATCGTCAATACTAAGCAGACATTTGCATGTGCACTTTCATTTTAGTCTCCCCGCAGGTCAAAAATGGATGGCTGATAGCAGGTCTGAGGTCACATATATTCATTACTAATTAGCTGATTTTCAGGTCAAATTATTCACCGGAACTCCAAAATATATTTGAAGGTTTAACTTTTACCTTTAAATTTAGATAATTTGAGACAACTGAGTTATAACTCACAGGAGGGAAACGTCATTGCATAGAAAATCGCGTATGCTCATAAAAAAATTTAAAATGCATGCAAAAGCCGGAGCATATAGTCATTATATTAATATTATCAAAATTTAAATTTTGAATAAAAAGTTTTACGTTTTTTTTTTTTAGCAAAAAAAAAGTTTTAAGTTTTCAATGATTTAAGAAAAAGACGACAATGACGCAAATCTTCGGAGCAGGCTTACAAGTGAAAAGTTAGTTTACCTACCAGCCCAACGCCGTAAGAGATCGTTATCTTTGTTACTTAATATAAAAGTTAGTTTGAATTTTAATTTAATTTTAAATATAAAATTCTAATCTATTTTGTTTTATAGTTATCCATTTTTTTAAGATAGTCTTTGTAGTATTTACATATGTTAAATGTATCATCATATGATAATTCTAACTAATACACATGATTAACAAGGATACTTTAAGAAAGACAACACTTAATTATTACAAATAACTAATTTAATTAATTTTTTTAATTTAATAAAATTAGTTAACTAACTCTTATATTAAAGACCGAAAATAATAGGTAACAAGAAAATAAAATTTAAAATCTGGCCTAGTCAGGTCTCATACTGCTATAAGGGTTGTAAAATTACGAGAGCATGCACTAATTCTATTTTAGCGCCACGCTTACGCTTAAGACCTTAATTGCATGCTTTGCATCCGAGTCATATGCTTATAGAATAGAAAACACAACTACATGAAATCATCATGAAAATGGTTAAAAAGAGAACATAAAAAAGTGGGGGAGGGGGAGCGAAAAAGGGGGGGGGGGTGTTCAGCGCCTCAATAATGCAGGTTTCAACCTACCGATTTGACATATGAAAAGGCACCTATAGATGCACGTTAAAAAGATCATAAGCCATTATTGCCAAGTTTAGTTTGATCATGTGAAAAAGCTATTATCCTGCCGACATGGGACTTTGGGGACCCTCATCAATAACTTATTATAATCCTCATTTTGCAATCGAGCAAGCATCCAACTGGGAGAAAGATGATGACCTTCGGCCTTTTTAATAATAATTATGTACCTGTACTTCGTTCAATGAAAGTGAGACTTTTAGCATATCAGAGAGAAATGATAAAAGAATCACCATAATTGCATTATGGAAGAAAGTGCAGCGCAAGGCCACGGCATAAAAGTAACACCAATTTATACACTCATGAACATGGAAGAAATCATAGAATCCAATCGATTTTTTTGCACTAAAAAAAAATCCTAATAACAAATGCCACTCATGTACACTATCAGTATGTATTACCACAACTCAGCTTGCTGCCCTCAGTGTCCAGTGCTCACGCCAAAATTTACACACACACGCACACACTCCTGCAACATCAGATGAATTAGACAAGATCATGTTTCATTTTGTTTATAAAAGAAACGTTTATGAGCCTTGTTCCGATGAACGAGGTTTTACTTCACACTACCTCAGCATATCATATCCCTAGTGAGTTCTTCAACCAGATCTTCAGTAACTAGACGTTCTATCTCTCCTTCCAGTATATTAAGCTCATCATCCATCAATCCAATCCAGGGGTTGGGGCCCAGATCTCTGGCCACCAACGTATCAAGAGAATCAGAAGTTACGTCAGACGGTGGATATAAAGTAACTCTAATGATTTCCCATACCAACTTCAGAAGTTCCTTCCCACGTGGTGGCGGCAGCATGGAGGAGGAACAGCATAGTTTCCTTCTGAATCTAGACAACGTTAAAGGTGGTCCAAGAACAATGAAAAGTCCTTCATTTAGCAAATCATGCAATAGCTTGTGCTCTAACGTATTGTCACTTTGATCCTTGGTTGAAGTTTCGTTCTCCTTGAGCATTTTTTTATGAGATTCCTCAACTTCTTCAAAAACCGAGTTCCCAATAGGCTTCGCAAACGTGTCCCCTTTTAATAAGGATTTATCCCATGAACCGAAGTATAGACCAGAAGCAACAAGCAGATCTCTTATGTAGGATTCTGCTGGATCCTCCAATTGTGCCAACTTAGATTCCTCAGGCTCCTGTTTGACCATTAATTCCTCAGGGCCATCAGACTCAAGTTGATTTATCTGCCTCCTTAACTCTGTTAAATCAACATAAAAAGGAAACTATAAGCAAATATTTATTATCTCTAGACTAGCAAGAAGGTTAGATGTGCTGAATTGAGAAAACACAATACAGGTTGGATTTTGTTCCTCTCTCAACTATCTCAGCTAATTCACAAAATCACAGATAAAAAAATCATAATGTGAACAAAATTTTACTTTGTTGTCAGCAAGATGAAGCAGGTAGCCTCTACTTTATAATAATAATAATAATAATAATATTGTCCTGTAGCAGGAAAATACCAACTGAACGTATCCTGTTAGTTTTTATAACTTATACAGAAGATGTATAAAAAAGATTCCAGATATAAGCACATACATCAAAGACTGTGAATTCAACAAGAAAGTTTAACTAATACAAACCCAGAACCCCATAATAGAAATTGTGTAGCACTTCAAACAAGTTACCTAAATATGAAAACATTAAGCAAAAATATGAAATCAACATCTGATCTACTAGGAGAACCCTTTAAAATTGATTGTTGATAAAACTTCCCGTGTGCAGTACATGAAATAAGTCTATCCATCTATGATATCATGACGCAATGCATGAAAGCTGGAACTTTTATTATCTTACCGTTCAAACCAGAGCTAATTTCTCTAAGAACCTCTGGCATAGCATTATCATCTCTTGAAGATACATCCGGAGTTGAAATTGGGCTTAAGTATTCAGCTCGCTTCCACAGCTCTTCCTGAGCATTGCTGCATACAGATGCAGGACTGGGAGGGACCTCAGTGGAGTTCTCCTAAGAGCATATGACAGAATATCTAAAGATTAAATGACAATCAATCATGAAATATAATTGACAGCAAATGTGCGTGTAAAAAGAATTTATAAAGCGTACGATGAACTTACATGCCTTTCACCACAATTCAAAAGAACTGTCGGTCCACTCGTGACATCTACCATCATGGAACCATCTTCATTGCTATGTGATTCCCCCACTGACTGAAATTTTTTTCCAAACAGCTTCCCTCTTAGGACAAGATTATATTTGAAGTTGGAAACCTTTTCTTTGATGTTAAATCTATCCTTCTTTTTCTTTTTAACATCAACAGACGCAGTTTCAATAGCTTCAAGCTTCCTCCGAATTTGCGCACCAGTTAAAATATGTCGGTCCTCTAGAAGAAGTTTTCCAAATGATGTTCCTGATACTGGAGCAGACAAGGATCTAACAAGGTTTCTAGGGGACGATTCTTTGGGGAGTGATATATCGCCAACTTGTTCACACCTGAAAGAGCCTGTTTGCATTTCTTTTTCCTCTTTTGAAATTTCCCAGTGGCTCGAATAATTTGAATTCGTACTATCATTATCTTGTTTTAACCTGTCATTGTGATCATCTAGGAGATATGACCTTGAATTCCCACAAGTCGCTCCAGGAATATCAAGATAAGCTTTGCTTTTTAGAACATTTCTTAGCCTCTCTGACAAGAATCTCCTGGAATCTCTATTGATAAATTCTGGGGAACTTGATCCATTGAACTGAATTTCACTTCTGCATGATTTTGTTGATTCTGAGCGGAGCAAATTTGTTGCAACATCTCTAGTCACGCTTTCTCTGACCTGTTTTGCTATATTGCGAGCAATTTGTTTAGGATCTGATGGCTTTTCATTGTAAGGTGTCTCAATTCCACTTCCACGAACCACATAACCCTTTTTAGAAGTTTTCCCCTGCAGTTCACATTTTAGCCGCTCTCTGACCTCTTTGAGAAAATCTTCTATGCTATTTCTCTCTTGTGAAATGCCGAATGGATTGATCCAATTATCCTCATGACTGTAAATCCTATCAGGACCGGGCTTCAAAATAACTATTCGAGTTGGTGAATAACCATCCTGTGGGCCATTAGATTTCATCATTAAGGACTCCTCAAAGTCTCTACTTAAGGTTCTGCTCCTTGAAGGAAAGGTTTCTTTGTGCCTAGTAGGAAATAACTCCATGATATTACCATGATATTCTGGACCACCATAATTTGTTAACTCTGTAGCCAGTCTATGTGAAGTTGCATGATCTGCCATCTTTTTCTTGTCCATGCTCTCTCGTGCAGGCAGTTGTCTGGGGTTATTGTCAACTTCAACAGCCTTTGAACACTCCATTAACCTCGCTGCTTGAAATGCTTCAAATTCTTTCTTGAACTTCTGCAGTTCCTCTTCCTGAGGATGGTCCCGGGGCTTTGGTTTTCCCAAATATTGGTTCCATCCATCATCATCATCTGTGTCTTGGCAATGAGAGTCAAATTCCATCTGGCTACAAGAATTAGAGTTGCCAGAACCCCGACCACCTGAACCCCTTCCATTCACTTCCTTCTCAGAAAACTTTTTCCCCATATTTTCACGTTTTATTTCATCTGATGGAATTGCAGATTTAGCATCTGATGGCATCATATCTATACCCATTAATCTGGCCACAAGGCTCGGTGCGTTTGGTTTGGTGGTTGGTCGCTGGCATAGCTCATCATTGATCAGTTTCTTCACTGAAACCGTGTCTGAACAACTAGCATTCACTGACAACTCTTCTACTTGATAATGATACTGAAAAATTTAAATGAAAGTTAATTGCTGTAGAAACAACTCAAGAATGAGAAGAAAGAAAGAAATATATATCACGAAACATACAAAGAGCACTTAATTGCTGTAGATGGAAACAAGAAACGGAATCTCATGAAGTTAATGTCACACTTGTGAATAAAAGGTCAACTGCAAATATGACTGGTGTGTCATCAGAACCAGAACAATGCATAAGGTTTTGCAGTAAAACAATTTCAGCATTACTTTAAACGATGGATTGACAAAAATCCATAATCTCAATGGCACATGAGGTAGGACTAGTAGAACACCCACTACTTTATAATTCAAGCATTTCTAGCTTGATATCGAGAATAATTTTACCATGGCCAGGTCCAATACACGTGATGTCATTCCCCCAAAATGCTAAGGGATAGTAGATCCGCAGTTAATAACAGTTCGAGGTGTTGGGATGATATCAACATGACAGACACTTACCGGTAATTCCCCTTGCGGGCATTGAATTTGAGATGCGTCAACTTGAAGCTCCAGGCTATTGCGAGGAGGTTCCAGGCCTGCGGAGCACATAACAACAGAATGAGCAGCATCCTACCAAAACCAATCTAGCAGAGGAGGCACGAAACCGATTTATAATGAATTTTTTGACTGCTGAGCAAGATAATCCTATTCTCAGTCAGACAAATTTACTAAAGGTCCTTCCATAGTATGAGATAAGGGTCAATCAACACTCACCACCATGACGTCTCTTGCGGGCATGAACTTTCTTGGCCATGCTCCCGTGATTGAACTCAAAAATGCGCAACAAGCCTCCCATACAGGCAGATGGTCAACCGAAAGACTCTCGGGTCCAAAATTGTCCTTCCATATCTCATCCCATTAAAATTTTATTTCTTCGCATGAAATAAACCATCACATCCCGTTTTAATCCTGCCACGCCATAGGATACCCGTATATTAGTTAAAAAGCGATTAGAAATATAACGTAAAATCCAGGCATGTTGAAACTTGAGAAAATTTGATCGTGAAGTGAATGAGGTCCAAATCAAACCGGTTTATGCATTCAGACATCTGCGACGGATGGACTGCCAATCCCGCTATGTAGAACAAAGCAGGCATAAATTATTCCATAAAAATAACAGTCTTAGTGAAAGCATGCAGACCGAATTCCCAATGTTAGACAGGAGGATAAAGATTTGAGCAAAATTAGGAACTATGAACAGGACTTTTCATCAAAATCTGATAACTTTGACTTCTTTGTGAACAATGAAGAGCAAAGGGCATTCAAGTGGTCTGAGCATGATCAAGGAAAACGTTGGAAGCCAAAAGGAGGAACCACAACTCTCTGAACCCCGTAATTTACGACCAGTGGTCACAGCTGAGTTTGCAGCCGAACTTGTTTTTAAGATTGCTCTACTAGTAAGAAGATGCTTTAAAACAAATTATTCAGATTCATATGCGTGTTGTCTTCTGTGCAATGGATGGTCGGTTAGAAGACAGGGAATGTATTACGCACCATAGAGAAAAACCAGAACAACTTATCAACAAATAAACCTCCAAGCTTTTGATTGATCAGCCAGCAGGCGATTATCGTTGAAGAATGTCCGAGCTCGATAGAGGTGGGGAAAAATTGATAGGGGCTGGAAACTAACAAATCCCAGAACGGAGAGAGCTTTGGAAAATGGGAATTGACAACTATGAATCGGAACAAAGGTGAGGCCCAGAAATGAGAATAATTAACAAATAATGGGGACAAAGGAAAGAGCTACGATGTCAATGTAGAGGGAAAGTACTCAGCCCATTGCTGGAAACAAGTGAGAGAAAACGAAGCGCCTGTCAACACTATTTTCTTTATTCGCTAATCATTCTTTTCTTTTTTTATTTTATTGGATAAATTTCCAGCGAGCTGGCTGGCTGACTCGATGAATGGCCTAAAGAATATAGCCTGCACACTACAAGGCGGAGGTGCGTCCAAAATAATTAAAAAGGACGATTAAAAAGTCAGGGAAAATTATCAGAGGATAAAGCGTATTGAAAACGTTAATCCGTAGAAAAGCACCCAACGTTCTTGTGAAGTTGGGGTTCAAATTCAATCTTGTTTCCTATTTCTCGTTCCAGCTGCACATGAATTACTCCTATTACGCTCAGTTTTCATCCGTTAATCCCGTAGAATAATTTCATAATGAAACTAGAATGCACATAAGTCCCCTCATGAGTACTTTAACGTGATTATCTCATAAAAGCAAGCGTTCCCTTTATTTCCATTTTGCCTTTTGCATCACGTTGTTATGACTTTCGTGTTGAGTGCCGCGTTGGGGTCAGACAATTTACATACCGACGTTAATTAGCAGGAGGAACTCGGGAGGCGTTGCATCCCGCAAGTAATTTGTATTTTTGAAGACAAATTTGCTCTTATTTATCTGTATTTAAAATTGGAAGACTGCTTTTAGTTTTGAGAAAATTAATTCATAAATTCTTATAGTTTTGTAATTGGAGCCTTGTAACTTGTTCAGTCATAGGCATTAATCCTTATAAGTGATGAGTGTGGTATGAGTGTGTGTGATTAAAAAAATTGTAAGGAAGCAATTATAGGCATCAATGTTATTTATTAAAAGGGAAGGAAAAAAAAAGTGAGCAGGCTTAGAGATGACTTGTATATTTAAGCTTATATTTCTTGCTTGCTTAGGAAGTTATTATACGGGTGCAGCTAAAAAGTTAGCCCCGCCACAGGCCGCGCCATTTGGCGCCCCCGCCTCGCTCGTGTTCGGTTTGCATGGTCCTTTGTTTTGAACATGCTGGTGGCTGGAGGGATTGATGAAGCTTGAAGAAGGATGCAAAACACGACTGTGCGTTGCAGAAGAACGAACCGCTGTGTGTGCATTTGGGGGGCCTAAGCAGTTCATAATGAAAGGAGGCAGCGCCAGTGGGGATATTTGGTTGTAAAAGCTGTGCAATCACGTGTCGGCCTCAGCCCTCCATCATCACCCCCTCACTCTCCTTCCTTTCCCTCGTCATTCGCCTCCTCCTTTCTGGGCCTTCATTCCTTCTTCCTTCGCCTCAGCCTTGGGCCGTGGCCCAAACTGCTCTTTCCCATCTCCCTCTTTCCTTCCCAATCACTTGTTCCCGCTCTAGCCCATTCCATTTTTCTTGTTCCTTTTTTTCCCCCTCACAAAAGACTGCTACAATCTTTTCTTTCTCTTTTCTTTTGCCGACAACAAAAAACTATAATCATTCTCAGTTGTATTCATTTATTAGGACCCGTTTGGTTTAACCCAGTTGCAGGCCTGTGAAGGTAATGGAAATTGCATTATCAAGAGAATGATATTTGGTTGCTTTTTAGCATGGTAATAAGGTTTACAATGGTTATGATGATTACCAAAAATTTAGTAATCTTTATTCACACCTCTCCCTCATGAATACTCATCAACATCCCATTGAATGTTTTGAAAAGTCTTATTTTCCTATCATATCCAATGTAAACGGACACAAAATGCCCTCAATCCCTCCTCCTCATCTCTTGTTTCTTGGACTTCTTCTTCTACAGCCTCTGTCTCACTCATCTCTATTGTTGTCGACATCATCTTTGATGCCCCACCACCTCCTTTCTTTGCCTCCACCACCGTGTTCTTCAATGCCGACGAAGCCTGTTCCTTCAACGTTGACAAAGTTTCATCTCCCAATCACGATTCCTTCTCATGGTCGCACTCCATGGCTTTCACTTCATAAGATCAATATTAAAACAAAGTAATTGAAGAGGATGTATGAAGAGAAGGATCAATAGTTTTGATTTTCCCAAAAACCCAAAAAATTGATTCCAAACCTGCATTGTTAGTTTTGATTTATCATTCTCTGCGTTTTACTTAGTTAATTCTAAAAAATTGGTTCCAAATTTGTATAGTTTGTGGTTCGACTTGTGATTCATGAATTTTGATTGTATATTGAAGTCAATGTCATGGCCTGTTTCTCTTTTTATTTTATTTGTTACTGTTGAAGAAATACGAAAGTACAAGGCAAACGTTTTTTTTTTTTGGGTTGGATGAGGATTATTTTGGTCTTTTTATTTGTTTGCATATATAATTTATTATAAAAATTAAATTTTCTTTTACACATGTCCAATGTCATACCGAACATTCTAATGATAATCAAAATCACATTACATCTCATTGCATTGCATGGTAGAGAGTATATACACAATTGCACCAAATAGGCCCTTAATTTGTGATGCCATGTAAACACACATTTCCATTTGAAATACATGTAACGTGATTCATCATATCCTCAATGTCAATGCAAGTGCCTTTCTCGGTCTTATGTTTCCCAAGATAAGTTATTAACATTAGTTTACATGTGTATACATATATATGATCACCAAATCAGTTACTGAACAAACAAGAGTGTCTGGATACAAATTTTAAAAATAAATTTATAAAAAAATTGTTTTAAAGGTATTTTTTGCGCAAACCAAACCCCTTCGAAAGTGGAACAAAGAACACCATGATGAGGCCGGGCTCAGCCAAATAGAAACAAATCCCCTGGGAGGGGGAATGCAATCGTGCGGTGCCACGTAGGAGTCGAGGAGGGGTCCGCTAAACCATCGGGCAATCTGAAATTCACACGTGTCATCTTGTTGAGCGTGATGATTACTCTATAGCTTGATCGAAAGAGTGCAGACAAAGAGACGTTGTCAGACATCTCTATGTGTATCCACGTGTGCCCATCCACATTGGATCCCAAACCACCCCCCCAGGGGTTCAACTCCGGCATATAGGATCGTATACAATTAATTAAAATTAATTCATTAAATTAATGACCCCTCACTCTTAAAATGTTAAATGTTTGTCCCTTCCTTGCATCCATCCATCGGCCATAGCAAAAACCGTACTCAACTGCTCTCTACCAAAGCGCCACCACCTCACTCTCTCCTTTCGGTTATCACAAAGAACTTTCCTTCCTCTCTCGCCCCCCCCCCCTCTCTCTGACTGATTCGGGACTTGACTCTCTCCGATCCGGAGTCGCTCCGCTCATCATCATCCCCCAATGTTCGTCAAGAAGCTCGTCGAGAAAGCCTCCATCAAGAAGGTCAGTTCAATTATTTCATTCCATCTCTTCTCTTTCCAACTCCGCTTGCTTAGTCCAATCACCCCCCGTACGTGTTTTCTCTGTGTCACGACCGATCCCCGATTTCCTTTCGGTTTCGTTTTCACAAAACTATGTTCTCAGAGTTTAATTCATTTCTCTGACAACTGATCCCAGTTCCGGAGCTCCGCCTTAGACTGTGTTTCAGGGGTAACGATAGGTACGGTGAAGTCGTGAAGATATTGTTTACTATCTTCTGTAACGCCTGTGCTAATTTTCTTATTCTGGTTTCCCAGTAAAGATACAACATAAACTGCAGTATCCCGGCAAAGCCCTCTTCCCATAAGATAAAATGCTAGTAGTAATATGGAATATTATACCGACGGACAATCTTTGGCCATCCGGTTTTTTGATTGGTCATCTAAACTTCCGTTAGCAAATGATATTTTGATCGAGATTCAACGTATAAAAATGATCCCACAACGGACAGCTGTATGGCCTTCACTGCCAGCTCCTTGATTGCCTCCCGAAGAGAGAAAGGAAAAGGAGACCTTGCCTGTTTTGTTCGATCCATACATCGTCCTTTACTTACTCTTGCCTTTTAGTTTTTACCCTCGCAAATATGAAGTTTTTGGGTTGCCTGGAAAAGATTTGGTTTTATCCAATTTGGATTCATTACTCGGCCTGGGCCCCACAACGATGCAAATAGTAATAAAGAAAAAAGATGTTATTGATTCTCTTTTATGTAAAAATTGATATATTTTTTTTATATTTATAACTGCTCTTAATGGACTATTAAATTAAAATATCTTGGCAAAAAAATTAAATTAAAATATTGCTCACTTTTTTCGGGCCAACAGATCCCTTACCCAGATAAAGAGGGGCAGGGTCGGTGGTAGTCAAAGTGATTGTGGGCCCTATGCTAAAGATGAATTTAGAGGGTGGTCGGCGGACCCATGTTAGATACCGTTAAGTTCGGTTTAAGCCCACAAGAATCCAAGGCCCGAGGGTACAGGCAACCTCGGACCAAGTCAGACAGACTTAGGACGCCGTCCGTCCTGACTCCTGAGTCCAGACTTCCACCTTTTATTATTGTTTTTTTAATTTCACGAGAAATAACTGGCCTTTTTCGATCCGAGAAATTCAAGTTTGATGTATCCAACCGCATATTCCCCGGCACAGCCAAAAAAGCCACTCAGTAAACCGAAGCATCTAACCTTTGGACCCAAAAAAAAAAAAAAAAAACTGAAACATCTAACCAAAAGAAGCCGGGACATGGCCGTTCACAGTATGTGAGGGTCAGAAACTGTTGCTAATCTTATAACTAACATTTTAACCTGAATAAATTATTTAATATTTATTAATTTGTTAATTATTAATTATTATTTTCGGAGCATATAAAGCAGCGGCAGATATGTTTTCTTTGTTTTTTTTTTTTGGCCGAACTTTCTGCTAAAGCTGTGAGTTGTGCCTGCAGCCTGGTGGGAATTCAGATGGGCTAAAGGCCAGCGATTTAGACGTGCATTTGGTTTTTCACTATGGGGTCCCATCCAACGGCGCCAAATTAGCTTATGAAAATAATCAGAAGATTCTTGCTCTGTCCACAAAGTACGTTGATCCTTGCCATTTCCTCACTTACTGTGGCGCCTTATATCATAGTGTGTAACATTGCATCTTGTTCAAAAATATACAATTTATAAGATGCAGCGGCAGATATTTTATTATATAA